AAGGCTTTCGCGAAGCGCTCGCACCTGGAGAAGCACGTGACGACGCACACTGGCGAGAAACCGCACGTCTGCCCCGAGTGCGGCAAGGGCTTCTCCTACTGGTCCACCCTCGAGGTGCACACGAGGACGCACACGGGCGAGAAGCCTCACGTGTGCGCCGAGTGCGGCAAGGGCTTCATCCACTGCTACAGCCTGGAGAGGCACAAGAGGGCGCACACCGGCGAGAAACCGCACGCTTGCAAGGAGTGCGGCAAGGAGTTCGTGCGGCGCTACCAGCTGGAGGAGCACACTAGGACGCACACGGGCGAAAAGCCGCACGTGTGCGTAGAGTGCGGCAGGGGCTTCGTGCGGCGCTGCCAGCTGGAGGAGCACAAGAGGACGCACACCGTGGAGAAACCGCACGTGTGCGGCACGTGCGGGAAGGGGTTTGCGCACCCTTCCAACCTGGAGAGGCACGGCAAGACGCACAAGTGAATCGGTGCCCGTGCGGCCACAGAGGCTTTTGGGCGGCGAGCAAACGGATCTACCAGGTGAACGCCCGCCTACGATTTCATTCCTAGTCCACGTAGTTTAAATGACAGCTGTCGGATCCGTACGCTAATTTTTTTTTTTTATAAATCATGTTTGGCATTTGCGTCTTTCAAATCAAGATTCAAATGAAGATTCAAATCAAGATTTACGTTTTTTAAGGGTTTAGTTTGGATTGCCCGTCTCCCCTGTGAGACCAGGCATCAATGGAGCATCGGTGATCGTCGTGATTTGCAATCGGGATTCCGTCGAAGGTAGACCTTGCCGAGCGCACGGGGAAGGGGTTGCGTTCCCGGAAAAATGCCGGGGAAACTGGGATTGCGTTCCCTTCATTGAACTAATTCTACAAGATTCCCTGACCCTCGTTATTCTGCTTCTTCTGTACGGCTGCCGACGTCGAAGCCAGAGACTACGACTACAATTTCACATTCAGGTGGTCAAGCCGAGACAACCGTGTCAGGAGCGGCGGAGCGACGTATCGATGTGACGATGTCCCCTCCTTCGTATTTGTGGGTTGGAGGAGTTTTTTTTTTGCATTATGACTGCAGGTATTGTGGTCTATGCAAACATGACTCCTTGTAAAAAAAGGTGTCAGTTTTGTTGCCAGATAGAAGGGTAAAAAACCAATTATCATATTTTTTACTGGCAAATGAGGTTCCAATGGAGTTGGCATCCGTCGCACGTTGTACGTTGCGGTCTGTTCTGGGCGAGTCCCGGCCCTCGCGACGCACATCGAGGCCGGGTTCTGGAAGAAATCCAAGACCAGCGCAGCCTTTGTGGACTCGTCATCGGTCTACGGACACATTTAAAGCTTTCGTGACTGCAGGGATTCATATTCTTGGTTTTTTCGGTAAAGTCACGTAGAAGGGAAATAATAAAATAATAAAAATATAAAACAATAAAAATTCTCACGATGTTTCGACTGCAACACAAACAATCATCATCATGTGTGAAATCCACAGCAAGAAAATATTTTTATTATTTTATTATTTCCCTTCTACGTGACTTTACCGAAAGAACCAAGAATATAAATATACAGTTCTGGATGTTTAGGCTCGCAAGGACGACCTCTTGTCTCGAAACAATACGCCCGGTATGGACGATGCTGAGCAACAGGAGACTGCGTGTCTATATGGGCGACAAATCCATCTCACCCCGGGTTGCTCAATAACGGATTGCCACAAGGTTGAACAGTCCGTGTGTCTAAGTACACAATCTTTGTCAATTTCGCCTCGACGTTGAACCTCCCCCCCCCTCCCCCCACAGCTCCTTTTCTCTTCCCGCACTCGTGCCCAAACGCTGAATTGCCGTGCCCGACGCTCGCCCCTGACGCTTGCCCAGAGGTCGCAAACGGGTTTTGATTCCTTACCCGTACCCGGCCGCACCAGGGTCGAAAACGGGTACCCATACCCTACCCGATACCCGGCTACCCGTACCCGGCCGGGTATCGAGTAGGGTACGGGTATCGGGTACCCGATTGCGACCTCTGGGATGAAGCCATGTTGCAGGCGCGGGTGGGTTGATTCTAGGAACTTGAATTGTGAGAAGAGACAAGACGTTGGGAAATGAGTGACAAACGGTTACTCACCAGTGACTCACGGTTTACCCGTACCCGTACCCGGCCGCACCAGGGTTGCAAACGGATACCCGTACCCGGGCGGGTACGGATAGCCGTGTATCGGGTAGGGTACGGGTATCAGGTACCCGGTTGCGACCTTGGCGCTTGCCACTTGCACGTTGACAGGTTCGCCATCGAGACGTCGGCACGACCGATGCCCTCGGCGACTGGGACGGCTAGATGCGTGCGGGAAATGCGTAACTGAGCGTTTGCGTTTTTACCGTCGTGTTCGTGTTGAGCCGCGTTACTTTATGAACACGCGAGAGACCCCGCGTGTTGAAATTAATCGTTCTCGCGATCGATCCGTTGACGCACGGCATTGCTTGTCGACGCAGAGGTGAGAATCTTGGCTTCGTTGAACCACGTGGAGGTGAAATCGTCACCCCCCCCCATGTTCCAGAATACAGAGTTCAACTGTAGAGCCGAAACACGCGCTCGATAAAGCGGGTTTCGGCAAGGCTTTGTATGCATGGACGTCCGTACGTTGCCAACCCGTGCTCATCGGGAGGTGCGGAAGGGAGAACAACAAGCTGAACAGAAGAAGAACAAGGAAGCAGTTTCTAAAGAAGTGTGTTTGTCAATCTAGGTGATGACTTTAAACTGTGGCGCAGCTCCAAGGAAGAGCATTCCAGACGGCCGCAGAGGCGCTGTCTGAAAGCGCCGCACGATGATGCGGTGACCACCGCCTTTGTCTGATGGTTACTTTCAAAAACGGTAGAAGCCTGCAAACCGAATTCCTATTCTACGCAGTCCACCATTGTCGTGGTTTGTGATCGGGATTTTAACACCCGAATCGGAGTTTGTTGTCTTGCCCTTAACAACGATGAACGTCGCTGAGGTCCGTGTCGTCGTCAGAATGCTATGACGTGAATTTCAAAGTTCATTTTCTCCAAAGCATTTCTCTGACGCATGTACTAGTGTTACTACTATTGTGAGCGTTAAAGAGTAGCATTTCATAACCGCATCTTAGATAGATAGATATTTTTAACAAGGGGATGCTTTGTCGTTACGTGTGATTACAACGGTCGAGTCGATGACGAAAGCTTCCCCTGCTCTGTCAGTCATGGGGATTTGCTTGACCATACTTTGCCGCGCCGGTCGATGCTGCTTGATCAGCTCGCCCACTTCCAGATCGCCCGTCCTCTTCCCTCGCCCCCTCCACCCCTTCCCGTCTCCCCCCCTACCCCTTTGTGACCCATAAGTCCCCTCCATCGTAGTCACCTCCCCCATACTCCTTCATATGTACGCGTGTATATGTTGAACCTCTTTCACACCGTACGTAGCCAACCGCACGAATGGGAGGTGCGGGCGGGCGGGGGGGGGACGTCAAACTAAACACAACAGGCAGTTCTTCAGAAATGAATTTTCAATCGAGATTATTTACAAGTGCATAGCTCCAGTGGCATCCTGTATGTATCTGTGTTGAACTTCTTTTGCATCGTTAGCAGCCAGTTCGAGTCATAACTGGCTGTAATGTTTCCATTTTAGACCTGGCAGCCCTTTAATTGGTGGAAGCCCACCACCAGGACCATCGCTACCCACAACTACCATCACCACCAGCAGTAGCCCTTTATTGGTGGAAGCCCACCACCTGTACCGCCATTCCCATGTTAAACCTTTACCTGGCAGCCGTTTAATTGGTGGAAACCCACCACCAACGGTGGCCATCGCCCGCCATTTACATTAACATCAGCTGCCCCGCCCATGCTGCTGACACTTGGGCTACGCTCATTTCAGACCTTTATAAGCAGTTTGCCTTTAGAAGCTAACCCCCTTTTCCTGATGATCACCGCTTGTGTTGCAATCGAAACGTCATGGTTATTTGTTATTTTATTATTTCTATTCTACGTGACTTTACCGAAAGAACTAAAGAATATTCTTTCACATCGTACGTAGCCAACCGTGCTAATCGGAGGGGCGGGGAGAAGGACATCAAACTAAACACAACAGGCAGTTCTAAAGAAATGAGTTTTCAATCTCGATAATGTATAACTTATAGCTCCAGCGGCTTCCTAATATCGATCCCGACTACGTACCCTCTATTGCGGCTACTTCCCCTACCCTACCGTTTCATCATCCCCTAATTACCCCTCTATCCCGGTATCACAAATTCCTCAACCCCCTTGCATGCTCCCTGCCAATCAAAATGGTCACATTCTGTGTCGCTCTTTTCTTTTTCAACTATGTCAAGCGCCTTGAGTGAAGTCGATCTCTCTATATATCTATGAATATACAATTATTTTAGATTGTAAAAGAGGAGGGGGGACGGGGGTTATTTGTATTGCCGTGCTATCGTGTGGTAACTCGCGTTGACAGTGTGACCGTAAATGTTTTCTAGTGCATTGTAGTGTTTCGTTAAGTAAATCCTCACTGAATAGCCTCAATATAAGCTTCGTGTGTGGTGCATTACATGCAATGCTCGACTTACGAATGCCCCGACTTACGAACGCCCCAACTTACGAACATCCGGGCTTATAAACGCCCCAACTTACGAACGCCCCAACTTACGAACACCCGGGCTTACGAATGCCCCGACTTACGAACGTTTGTAAGTCGAGGGCGTCCCGTACCTAACACTGCCGTCGAGTCGGCCTCGAGGGCGACATTTGCAACCGTCGGTCGAAGTTGTCAAATTGGCAGGTGTCTATTAAAAGAATGGCTGTGTCAAACTGAGCGTGGTGTTTGGATTCATTTTACGAGCCCCTAGCTAAATTGTATGTTGGGGGTTCTCACTTTCAAGATGCAATCCGTAATATTCAGATTTTTTTTTCACGGCTTTGTGGGTAACCCCACAAATCCCCGGAGACCCCCCCCCCCGACACCTTAGCCCAGATTCAGCACCGACATGTATTGGCGATGTAATACGTTACCGCGACGTATTCCTTAACACGTTCCTTGGGAGTGGGCAGGTAGGAACTTGGTTGGACAGCGCTTTCGTGCACGACAGACAAATAATCCCTGGTGGGCAGTGTGGAACCTGTTGTTCCGACCTGTAAAACACCACCGTATTACAACGCTGTGTGCAAAAATCCCAGTGTGATACAAGTCAAGATGGGCATCTCGAAACTGAGCCGTCGCCTATTTTTTTAAATCGACATCCCGTGCCCTGCCAACCCCTGATCAGTGCCCTACCTTGGTACAGATCGATTCAGAACTTGCTGGTCACCCCGTGTCCCTTATAAGACTCAACGTTCATCCTACAACGTCCCATCACACGACAATAGTATACTACTATTCTTGGGGATTTTCGGTAAAGTCACGTAGAGAGATTCAAAGAAAATAACAAAAAAACTACGACGTTTCGATTACAACACAGAAGCTTTAAGTCAAGTATTCTACTACACTACTATAGTATACTACTACATCCTGCTAGAGGTTACCTAGGGGAGCTTTGTCTCTGCTGCTACTCGCCACCCACTGCACTTGCCCCTACATCCTGCCAGAGGCTACCTAGAGGAGCTTTGTCTCTGCTGCTACTCGCCACCCACAGCACTTGCCCCTGCGGTGAGTTCGATACGTCGCTGGCTGCGTCTTGTCCTGCATCTCGCCGCCGCTCCGGCCGCGTCTTGCCGTCGCCCGCCCCTCGTGTGCGTTGCATCTTGTCGCCCTGTTCGCCTTCGTCGCACAGGGTGAGGTGTCTGTGTGTGTCTGTGTGTGTGAGTGTCTGTGTGTGTCTGTGTGATTGTCTGTCTGTATGGGTGTCTGTGTGTGTGTCTGTGTGTGACTGTCTGTGTGTGTGAGTGTCTGTGTGAGTGTCTGTTTGTGTGAGTCTATGTGTGTGAGTGTCTGTGTGTGAGGTGTGTGTATGTCTTTGTCTGTGTGTGTCTGTATGAGTGTGTGTCTGTGTGTGTGTGAGTGTCTGTCTCTGTGTGTGTGAGTGTCTGTCTGTGTGTCTGTCTCTGTGTGTGTGTCTGTCTGTGTGTCTGTGCGAGTGTGTCCGTCTGTGTTGCAGTGAATGTATGTCTGTGTATATGTATGTCTGTGTGTCGGTGTGTATCTGTGTGTCTGTGTATGTCTGTCTGTGTGTGTATGTCTGTGTGTATGTATGTCTGTTTGTGTGTGTCTCTGGTGGGGAGCGGTAGTGTAGTGGTTAGCGCTACGCTGCGCTATGAACCTGGCGACCCGAGTTTGATTCCCGCTCAAGGCCAACAGCAGTGACGATTATCTGAACCGTTCCTGGGCCTCCCCTAGGTCGACTCAGCCTCAAATGAGTACCTGGTGCGGTGTGTAGTCAACATCGCCACTGGGGAAACAAAGGCGGTCGGGCGTGGTGCTGGCCACCCACCCCCTCGTGTGCCATGCCGGCCTTCATAGGTGCTCGCTAACAGCACTTGCCCGCACATTCTGTTCAGGCTACACAGGGGGATCTTTGTTTCTGTGTGGCTGTGTGTGTCTGTGTGTATCTGTGTGTGTGTCTGTGTGTATCTGTGTATGTGTCTGTGTGTGTATCTGTGTGTGTGTGTCTGTGTGTATCTGTGTGTGTCTCTGTGTACCTTTCCCGGAATAGTGTGCCGGGAAAGGTCCTGGCAAGGATTATTCAACATCGCCTTGCTCGGCACGCTGAGGAGAGGCTTGCGGAGCCCAATGCGGTTTCAGGAAAGGGCGGTCCTGCACAGATGCCATATTTCTGTCCGTCTGCTATAGCAGAGGTGTAGGGAATTCCAACAAGACCTACATCTCTGCTTTATTGACCTGGTCAAGGCCTATGATACCATCAGTAGGCCTGGGCTCTGGGTTGTTGTTCGTGCTTTCGGAGTCCCTAACCCACTGTTCACGATCATTAAGGACCTTCATGATGGTGAGCGGGCCCGAGTGAAACTACGTGGCTGGGATTCAGAGCCATTCCCTGTACACCTTGGGGTGCGACAAGGATGTCCTCTGGCTCCCACATTATTTAACTTCTATTTCGACCACGTAGTTCGTGACCCCTTCGATGACTGTACCGGAGGAATCTCCATCTGGAACAGATACAATGGGAGGCTGATCGATGCCCGTATGCTATCAAGGGATGGCTCCCTATTGGTCAACCACGTTATGTATGCCGATGATCTGGTAATTGCTGCTCACTCAGAGGAGGAGTTGGAGGCGCTGCTGTTGAACCTGGAGCTTTACCATCAGCCCCACCAAAACTAAGCACCTGCCTGGGTAGTTTGTACCGTTGGACACTCCACCCCCACAACTCTCAATTGGTGATGGGGCAGTTGTGGAGAGAGTGGAGCGTTTCCCATACCTAGGCAGTGTGCTCATGACTGGCTCCAGTTTGACAGCAGAGGTCTCAATCTGAATCAGTCGAGCGGCATTATCTTTTCATCGGCTGTATCACGCTGCGTGGAAGCTACCTGATCTGTCGCTCCTCCGACAGGCAATGCTGCATTGGCAGGGTCATGTAGCCCGCATGCCCAGCTACCGCATGCCTGAACAGCTTTTGTTTGGCCGGATAGAGGGGGCTAAATGGGTACGGCACGGGCTAAAGAAGAGATGGAGTAATGTGGTACAAGAGGATATGGGTCTCCCCTAGGTCGACTCGGCCTCAAACGCGTACCTGGTGCGGTGTGTAGTGGGGAGACAAAGGCGGCCGGGCGTGGTGCTAGCCACCCACCCCCTCATGCGCCGTGCCGGCCTTCATAGGTATTGCTCGCTTACAGCACTTGCCCCAAAAGTCTGTTCAAAGCTATATATGGGGCTGGGCTATCTTTATCTTTGTTATACAGGGTGCTTCAAAAAATGTTAATACCTCTGTGAATTTGCAACAATACCACAATAAATATGCCTCCTCTGGGCTGTGGAGAACCACCTGGAGAAGATTCGAGGCATGCGTTGACAATGGTGGTGAACAAGCAGGAGACATTTTGAAGCTATTAACGTTACGTTTGTTATCATGTTACAATGTTATCCGTTTTTTTCCCATTAAAAACGATAGTCCCATTGTAAGCATTAACATTTTTTTAAAGCACCCTGTATATCGACCTCTAAGTGGAAGGGGGGAGAGGCCTTGAATCTCGATCGGTTTCACCCCCTCTCAGATGGCCTTGCACGCCCAGTCGCCGTTCGTCGTCAAACGAGAGAACGAAGAGAATCCGAGCCTCTGGACGGGACCGGCCTCGATGGTGAAACACGAGGACGCCGACGCCTTCGGTGAAGCATTTACACCATTATCAGAGTTATGTTTTTTGTTTGCATTATGACTGCAGGTATTGTGGTCTATGTAAACATGACTCCTTGTAAAAAAAAGTGTCAGTTTTGTTGCCAGATAGAAGGGTAAAAAACTAATTATCGCCCTCGGTGAGGTCACGGCACTACGACCAGACCACCGGGAATGGGGCCCCCCTCACCCAAGCCAGGCCACTGACTCTCGACGGGGAATGAGCCTGGAGAGCAATTGCATGGACGGCCACCGCCACGCACGTGGGAAACTATGGTGGCTGGGAGATGTTCACTACCTCGCCTGGTATACAGGATGGCGTGGGTTCTATCCCGATCTTGACGATGCCTACTGCTGTATATTTGGAGTTTGTGTCTGTTTCTCATCATTACCACGGTGGCTGGGAGATGTTCACTACCTCGCCTGGTATACAGGATGGCGTGGGTTCTATCCCGATCTTGACGATGCCTACTGCTGTATATTTGGAGTTTGTGTCTCTTTCTCATCATTACCACGGTGGCTGGTAAATGTTGACTACCTCGCCTGGATACAGGATGGCGTGGGTTCTATCCCGACCCTGACATCTGCTGTATATTTGGAGTTTGCGTCTTTCTCTCTCTCATCATCATCATCACGATGGCTCGGATATGATAACTACCTCGCCTGGTATACAGCAGGTCGTGGGTTCGATACCAACCCTGACATCTCTATATTTGGAGTTTGCGTCTCTCTCATCATCACGGTGGCTAGGAGATGTTAACGACTTCGCCTGGTACGCAGAAGGGGGTGGGTTCAATCTCGATCCTGATGTTGACAAGAGAGAGAGACGCAAACTCCAAATGTACAGTAGGCGTCAGGATCGAGATCGAACCCACAACCTCCTGTATACCAGGTGAGGCAGTTAACATCTAGCCACCATGATGTTGACGATAGAAAGACGCAAGCTCCAAATGTACAGCAGGTGTCAGGATCTAGATTAAACCCACGACCTCCTGTATACCAGGTGAGGCATTTAACATCTCCTAGCCAACATGGCGCCTGTCTCTTTCGGGGGTGGGGGGATATCTCTCGCTGGAGCCGACTGACCGACTGACTGACTGCCTCACCGTCGCTCGTAAGTTCAACTCCCGCCCGTTTACAGAGACGTGCGGTGACTTTTTCTTGGAACCGCGGCTTCCAGGAGGGCGGGGACCGGGAGCCGGCGACGAGGGGTCGGAGGAGCCCGCGGATGCCTTCGCGTTTCTCGCCACTCCAGGCCGCAAGTTCATCGACATGGAGGTGTGGACGGAGGACTTTGATGAAGGTGAGCTCACCTGATTTTCACGTTGCCAGGCGCACTGAGCTCCTAAATTAGAAGTGTGAGTTGTGAGTTATTATTTGATTTTATTTTCGACGTGACTTTACCGGAAAAAAACCGAAGAGTAATTCCTGCAGTCACGAAAGCCTCGAATCTAGTTTGAACCACCTCTACGGGGAGGGTTTACTCACAACTCATACTTTACTTCTAATTTAGCAATCGTTGGGAGAACGTTAATCAACCAGGCTCTGCGTTAACTGTGTGTTAACCAACCCTCTGTGTTGCATTGCATTACACTTCTTAATTTTACTAAATTTGCCTTCTCAAACTTTGGATTTTCTTGCTCTAAACCATTGTCTCTCCTCCGGCCACTGTGGTCCAGAATTCCACGCTGCTCCCTCCTTGTCCCTTCGTCTGTCAGCTGGTCCCGCATCCCCAGTCCTCTCTCTGCCCCGGCCCACTCCCCCTCTATTTAAGGCCTCGGCACGGATTCGTTGTCCTTCTGTTTGTCTTGGTGTGTGTCTCGCTCTGTCTTTGTGCGTGTCTCTCTCTGCATGTGTGTCTGCCTATGTTGTTCCCGTGTCTGTATTTTGTCATTCATTCTTACCTGACGATGGTTGCTTGTGTTGCAACCGAAACGTCGTATTCTATTATTTGATTGGATTTGATTTTCTACGTGACTTTACCGAAAGAACCAAAGAGTAATTCCTGCAGTCACGAAAGCTTCAAATCTAGTACGTTTTTTGTTTGCATTCTGACCACAAGTATCTGTGGTTAATGCAGACATGATTCCTCGTGAAAGGTTTCGGCTTGGTGTTTTAACATCTTAACACGACTGTTTTGTTGCCAGAAAAAAGGGGAAAACCGTTTCTAAGATCCCTTTCCGCTTAGAACCGTCCTCCCCCCGTATAGCCCTTTAAGAGATGCCCGGCTGTGTGAGCGTTCGCATGCAGTGATGGTGACGGAGGAGGAGGAGGAGGCGGCGGGGGCAGTGGTGAAGCGGGAGTACGAAGGGAGATGGAGCCCCGAGTTCCTGAGGATCGTGGTGAAAACCGAAGTGGGCGATGACGGTAAAGAGAGAGCGAGAGAGAGAGATCCCCCTCATTCCTACTGACAGACTGAGCGAGGGTCTAAATGAGACCCCCCCCTTGTTTGCCAGTATTCCAAGTGTGACAAAATAAGAATGGGGGGTGTTGTTACCCATTCTGCGAGTAATACAACAGGAGTCGTGTTCGGGTGTTCAAACGACAAAATGGAAACCCTTGAAGATCTTCACACAGCCCGTTTCATTACTGCCAGAAAGGGTTCAACACACCACTACTAGTATACTACACTATACACCACTACTATATACAACACTATATACTACACTATACACTACACTACACTATACACTACACTACACTATACACTACACTGCTATATACTATACACTAGTGCTGTACTAGTAACAAATTGGCATGTTCTGTTTACAAACATTACTGTGCCGGGTGGTGGCGGGTTTAACGACACATTTATCTGTTTACATGATCTAACCCAAAAAGCCTGTATCATGGATGATATTGGTTGCAAAAGCCTGCGTGTTAAACACCTATTCTTACGTTTTCATACCTTGATACTGGCAAAAGGGTCCCATCACGGACATTATGCGAGAGCCGGGGTACTATGGTACCCCGGGGTACCGCTATAAGGTTAAAATACTGTCAGAGCCATGTTAGTTTGCATGTTCACCACAAGCACTGCGTGTGTGGTCAATGCAGTGACCCGATTCCTTGCCAAAAGTTTCTGTTTGGCGTTTGAACATCTTTTTACTGCCAGAGAGGCTACAACACCGACATTTTCTTTCGTACCGAGCCAGGGTCTCGCAACCAAACCACGAGCGGATCTCCGCACTCGCGTGAACGTCCTCCGGCTCGCCTGTCGACCTCGCTTCCCGTCGTTGTGTCTCCCGCACCGCAGCGCTGCGTCCGGAGCCACGAGAGGCCCCCTGGAGGCCGGCTGAGGCGGACGAATCTGGCGGAGGTCACTTCACCGCAGACCGGAACTTCATCGAGGTGGAGGTGTCGGAGGACGACGAGGAGGAGCGTAACGAGGGTGAGCGTCTTACTTGGTCTTCCCCGTGGGTTCCTTTTCCATGGCCGGTCGTATACGTCCCGGACGTGGCAGCGTGCTGGAGGAAGTGGCCACCGTCCGGGCCAACGTTGCCAGTTGCTGAGGAGCTATTCACAATGCTGAGGCCAGGTGAAGCGGTGGCTATGGAGATGTTAACTACCTCAAGTTCAACATACATATGTACGACACTATGCATGATGTACTCCACTATACACTACTATACACAACACTATATACTACTATATATATACACTACACTATATACTACGATACACTATATACTAATATACTATATACTACTTTACACTATTTTACACTACTATTCACTACACTACATACTTCACTATACACTACACCACTCTGCTAGCCAACCACGCTAATAGGAGGTGCTGAGCTTGCCCCCGCTGTCGACCGCGGTCCAAATTGAAGCCCCGCCCCACCCCCCCCCTTTTTCTTTTTGCTCCGAACATTGCGTCGGACGCAACGACAGGAAGAGAGCCCCTATGGGAGGGGTGGTGCGGGAGCGCGACGGGGGCGCACGATGCCGGACGATCCCCCAGTGGGCGGCACGGGAGGCCGCCGCCCACCGCCGCCAATCGGACGGGGAGCGGACTCGGAGGGAGCGCGGGGGCGGCGCCCCCCGGTGGCGGCAGGAAGAGGCCGCACGCTTGCGGCAGGTGCGGCAAAGTGTTCGCGCGGCCCTCCGACCTGGAGAAGCACTCGAGGACGCACACGGGCGAGAGGCCGCACGCGTGCGGCGAGTGCGGCAAAGCGTTCGCGACGCGCTACAACCTGCGGACGCACTCGCGGACGCACACGGGCGAGAAGCCGTACGTCTGCAGCCGGTGCGGCAGGGGCTTCGCACAGAACGGCCACCTCAAGAGGCACTTCAGGAGGCACTCCAGGACGTACACGCCGCAGTGACGAAGGCCTCGAGAGGCGGGCGGGGGGGGGGGGGGGGTCAGTAGCGACGGCAAATGTCGCCATGCTCCTGCAACGCTATCGGCCCCCACCATGTCAACTAAAGAGAAACTCTTTTTTTATTTGATCAGCTATAAGCATTGGGCTGCTACGTAGCGGTAACATGGCCATCGCAAATGACAGCAGCTCGACCTCTTCCTGATGACGACCGCTTGTGTTGCGATCGAAACGTCGGCTTTTTTTGTTATTTTCTTTGAACCTATCTACGTGACTTTACCGAAAGTCCCAAAGAATACTCAACCAAGTGGCTTATATCGTCATTGTCGCGAGGAAATTCATAGCAGCAGCCAAATTAGCTAAGTGTGTGTTTCTAGAGACTCATAGATACCCACAAAGACCCAGACAGATTCACACTCAAGAGACCCACAGAGACCCATGCTCATTGAGACTCACAGAGATTCATAGAGACCCATACTAATATTAAACTATATTTTATTTTACCAGGTAAGGCCCACTGAGTCTTGTAGCTCTTTTATAGCAGCACCCGAATACCGAAATTTTTTATGGGTCTCTGTAATGAGTCTATGGGTCTCTGTGTAATAAGTCTGTGGGTCTCTATGTGATGAGGCTATGGGTCTCTGTGTGATCAGTCTATGGACGACCAGGTAAACAGCCACTTAGTTGCTGTGTAGTAGCTCTTGTTCAGAAGTGACCTGCCCATCACAAATGATAGCAGCTCAAACAAGTGGCTTATCACGTGGACATTTATAGCAGCAGCCAAATATTCTAAACGCACACCAGGCGAGGTAGTTAACATCTCCTAGCCACTGTGATGATGACAGTGAGAGATGCAAAGCCCAAATAAACAGCAGGTATCAGGGTCGTGATTGAAACCATGACCACCTGGATCCCAGGCGGGGTAGTTAACATTTCCTAGCCACCGTGATGATGATGAGAGATAGAAACATGCAAACATACAGCAGCAGGCATCGTCAGGGTCCGGGATCGAACCCACGACCTCCTACATACCAGGCGAGGTAGTCAACATCTCCTAGGCACCACGGGGCCACTTAACCACACAGATTCACAATGTAACGGTTCACCCTCTGGCCTCTCAAAGTTAACCATCGACTATCCATTATCGGGATTATCGGGGTTGTTGATTAAATCTTGATTGAAAACTCACGTCCCTCGAGCTGCTGCTTGTTGTGTTTAGTGTTGTTGGCTACATAGGGTGTGAAAAAACGTCAACATACACACACTATACCATACGCTACATACTACAATATACACTACTATACACTACACTATACACTACACTATACATTAGTATACACTACGCTGATCGTGGGTAAAGAGACTCTTTTTTTTCCGCGGAAGATTCAGCCGGTGCAAGAATTGCAGCCCAGAGGCCACCAAAGCTCGCGGTGCGTTCATTGAACTTGCAGACCAAGACGGCTGATTTTAGTCACAAATTTAATGATGTCAGAAGAAGGTAATTTTCACCTCAACAAAACAACATTTGCAGGTTCTGGGGTGTTCACGCGTCATATCGAATTAAAGAAAGTTTTAGCATTTAGAGTTCGTGTTTTATTTCACTTTTTCACAAGTTATAGGCAAAATAAATCAGCTGTACCCCCGACTGTGCCAGGTTATTTGCAAGAGGTCACGGGACAGACCCAGCAGGTGCCATTGGTTGGCTGACTGAGATCACTACTGGTAGATGCACCACCAGCTGTACCCCCTACGGTGCTAACTTGCTGCATTTTAGCCGCCAGATACTCTGCTCGCTGTAGAGAGAGAGAGGGGGAAGAGGGCATCCTTCACGAGCCTCATCCACACTACACACACACGCAGGACCATTGGATGCCCTCTCCCCCCTCTCTCTCCATCCCCTGTCGTGTTCGTTCCTTGTCTCACGCCCGTGCCTCTCCCTACCCGCAGAGACCCCCTTTTATCCCCCCTAACCCCCCCACCAGCCCCCTGCTCCAGTCCTCCTGTTGTCGTTGTTCAGAACTGGCAATATGGCGGATTCTCGATTATCCACTTGTGCAGTTTATCCGATTTGCGGATTAACCCGCGCGCCCGAGATTTTGACATAAATCAATAACTCGGTGATTTTCCCTTAAGCCCAAATTAAGTCTAAAAACAGTTGTACATTGTTGGGAATGTTCGTTATAAGTCACACGGTGCTTAAACCAGTTAATCTGAATTCAACGCGATCGCCACTACAGTACAGTAGTTGCCATAACTTGACAACGGTGGGCGGAGTTTGAATGATGCTGATTGGCTGTGGCTCTGCTGCCATCCACTCAGTGGGGCTAAGTTTGATTGACCACTAATGTTTTTTTCATTAACTACATTTTCTTAACTTAAACAAAATGTATACCTATACGAGTGGTTTTTGGCATGGAGATTCGCGGAAAATGCGATATTTGTTGGATTATCCACGATGTTGAATTATCCGCGACCGTCCTCCCCGTCATTAACGCGGCGGAAAATCTGGAGCTTTCTGTATTTATCAAGCTCACTCTCACTCTCCCCCACCCCCACACCATCTATCCCTCTGTCGCCTGGGGTCACGACTGTACCCCATCGGTCGCTACGTTCGAAATTCAACCACCCACAATCCCGAGGCGCGTCCGCGCGCGTTGCAAAAATCGCGAGTTTGTCCGCTGCCGTTCAACCAGAAAACGGCGAGTTGCACAAATGGAAAAGAACGTGCGAGCGTGTCAATGGAGGGAAGAGTGAGCGAGGGCATTGGGCGAATAGATGGGATGAGTCGCTGAACAAGGGGGCGGAATGAGTGAACGAGGCCTGACTAAGAATGAAAACGAAGGGATCATCCAGACGGAACAAAAGTATATACATCCGAAACAACAAAACTGAAACCTTTTTATGAGGATTCATGTCTGCATTAACCACAATACTTGTAGTCAAAATGCAAAAAAACAAAAAAAAACATCCTATGATAATATATAAATTGTCCTTGAAACTGATTGGTCCACACCAAGGGACGGCTTTCTTTTGAGCCTCGACCCAATTGGTGCTCGACCAGAGGATGCCAAAAGGCGTACCTTTTAAAAGAAAGCCGTCCCTTGGTGTGGACCAATCAGTTTCATAGTATGTTTTTTGTTAGAATTTTGACTGCAAGTATTGTGGTTAATGCAGACATGAATCCTTGTAAAAAGTTTTCAGTTTTGTTGCCAGAAAAAAGGGGGAAACCCCTATTATTAGAGGTGAAGATGCTGAAGTGGTCATCCATTGTTTTTTTTATCCTTTACAAACGCAATCGGTTTACCTTGGCAAGCGTTGCGGTCACGTGGGCAGAGTTCACCGATCCATCGGCGAGTGCATTAGGTGTGAGTGACCTCGGTTGGTCTGCTCTCCAGAGTATCTATCCGCTCGTGGAGGTGATTCGTTACATTCTGAAAATGTATCGTTTACTTAAAACCCGAAACAGGAGCAGGATTTCTCCACAACTCTGCCTGTCCCCTGACGAGGCTGGATGTCACGGTACTCGAATTCTAAACGTCGTAGTGGGTTTACTCTACGACACACAACCAGTTGGTGCTGTACTCGAATTGCCACGTTTTGTTTACGTGACAAACTAATTGGCAGTGTCGGGTGGTGACGGCGAGTTTAACGACAGCATTAAAATTTACGCGATCTAACCCAAAAAAAACCCCTATAATATGGATAATATTGGTCGCGAACGCCTACTACTACTGCTAAGGTGTTAAACTGTACAGTTTAAGAGTTTGCGGTGAAACAAAATAAGTATATACAGGGTGCTTTCAAAAAACGTTGACACTTCTGAGAATTTGTAATAACACAAGAAATGTGCCCCTCTGGGCTCTGGAGACCACCTGGAGAAGATTCCAGGCGTGCGTTGACAACGATGGCGAACAAGTGTGAGACTCTTTGACTTTTTAAAACTGTTTGGTTCTTTCGGTAAAATAGCGTGGGTGTACCCTTGGGTGACACCCACCTCAAACCTGGATATAACCTCTTGTTGCAACAGCCCTTTCTTGTTCAGTAGTTCTACTGCTGTATCTTTCTACCTGATGACGATTGCTTGTGTTGCGATCGAAACGTCGTGATCTTTTATTTTTTCTACCCACGTGACTTTACCGAAGAACCAAAGAGTATTTGTTAGCATGTTATGGTGCATTATCTGTTCTTTTTTCCATATAAGTGTTAATAAAAATTTTGGACATATGGTAAGCAACAAAATCATTACCCACTGGTTTTCAAATGGGAGGCAAAAAAAAAACCCATTCGGGACATGCGAGGTTTTCACTCGAGCGCGTGCGTCTTTGAGTGCCTCTTCAGATGACCGCTCTGCGCAAACCCCTCGCCGCACTCCTTGCAAACGTGCGGCTTCTCGCCCGTGTGCGTCCTCACGTGCGCCGTCAGCGTGGAACTCTGCCCGAAGCCCCTGCCGCACTCCTTGCACACGTACGGCTTCTCGCCGCTGTGCGTCCTCCGGTGCTTCTCCAGATCCGAGCGCTGCGCGAAGCCCCGGCCGCACTCCTTGCAAACGTGCGGCCACTCGCCCGTGTGGGTCCTCGCGTGCGCGTTCAGGGTGGCGCGGAGGGCGAAGGCCCTGCCGCACTGCTCGCAAGCGTACGGCCTTTCGCCCGTGTGCGTCCTGGTGTGCGCCTCCAGGGAGGAGCTCTGCGAAAACGCCTTTCCGCACTCCTTGCAAACGTGCGGCCTTTCGCCCGTGTGGGTCCTCGCGTGCGCGTTCAGGGTGGCGCGGAGGGCGAAGGCCTTGCCGCACCGCTCGCACGCGTACGGCCTTTCGCCCGTGTGCGTTCTCGTGTGCGCCTCCAGGGAGGAGCGTTGCGCGAACGCCTTGCCGCACTCCTTGCAAACGTGCGGCCTCTCGCCTGTGTGGGTCCTAGTGTGCCTCTCCAGGTGGGAGGAGAGCGCGAAGCCCCGGCCACACTCGGCGCACACGTGCGGCTTCTCGCCCGTGTGCGTCCTGCGGTGGATCTTCAGGTCGGACGACCTCGCGAAGCCCTTGCCGCACTCGTCGCACGCGTGGGGCCACTCGCCCGTGTGGGTCCTGCGGTGGATCTTCAGGTCGGACGAGCGCGTGAATCCCTTGCCGCACTCGTCGCACGCGTATGGCTTCTCGCTCGCGTGCTTCCCGACGTGCGCCTCCAGGTGGGAGCTTTGCACGAAGCCCTTGCCGCACTCGGCGCAAACGTGTGGCTTCTCGCCCGTGTGAATCCTGAAGTGGATCTTGAGGTCGGACGAGCGCGTGAATCCCTTGCCGCACTCCGTGCACACGTGCGGCTTCTCGCCGGTGTGCGTCCTCAGGTGCTCCTCCAAGGAGTAGCGTTGCGCGTAGCCCTTGCCGCACTCCTTGCACACGTGCGGCCACTTCCCCGTGTGCGATATGAAATGCGTCTCCAAGTTGTAACGCGTCACGAAGCCCTTCCCGCACTCCGTGCACACGTGCGGCTTCTCGCCCGTGTGCGTTCTAGTGTGCTCCTCTAAGTGAGAACGCTGCGCAAACTCCTTCCCGCAATCGTCGCATGTGTGCCTCCGCCGGTCGCCGGTGACCGCCGCGCACGAAGGCGCCGCGACTTCCAGCGGCTTGCCGCACCGCGCACAGGAGGCTCCCGGCGTGGCGGCCGCGCGTCCGGCGTCGTCCGCCCCCGTCCCCAAGTGTCGTCTGCCCACCTCGCACTCCTCGCACAGGAGTTCCGTTCCTGTCGCATCGTCCGCCACACATTTTCACCAAAGGCAAAAGTTCGAGGTTAAAGGACACGAAGAAAAACGAGGCTCGGAGTTCAGGAAACGGCAGCGTCGTTAAGGCTTTAGCTCATCAGCTTCTCTTTTCTTTGACGTACAGGAGGCCCGGGACCGGTTCAGATAATCGCCGTCACCGGTGTTGGTGGCCGTGAGTGGGAATCGAACTCGGGTCGCCGGGTTTGTAGCACAGCGTAGCGCTAACCACTACACCACTGCTCCCAAAAATTCCACGCAACAACAACCGCCATTTGCCACTAAGTGGCGGTGACGTCACCACGACGCTTGTGCCAGACTATGTGCGCTTTGAGGCTATGTGAAGTGTTGAACGCCCGCTGGCAGGAGGTCACGGGGCAGACCCAGGTGCCACGGGTCGACTGAGATGAATGGCCGATGCACCACCTGCGCCCCCTACTGTGCCAACTTGCTGTGCTTTAGCCACCCGGCGTTCCGCTCGTTGTTGTGAGCGTCGCTCCAACCGCCCTCCGTTGTTGTTGGAGGGCGACTGCCTCCAACTGCCCAGTAGCGTCCTTCACGAGCCTCCTCCACAGAGGCCAATCTTGACACCGTTGGTTCCAGTTATTGGCAAGTCCACTCAGCTCCATATCCTCTTGCACTACATTACTCCATCTCTTCTCTAGCCCATGCCATGCCTGTTGAGCCCCCACTAGCCAGCCGAACAAAAGCTATTTAGGCATGCAGTGGCTGGGCAAGCGGGCGGCATGACCCAGCCAACGCAGCCTTGCCTGCCGGAGAAGCTCACTGATGGGACTTTGTCCAGATCTTTCAAGGATTTGTGAGCTCCTCACATAATTCAGCCTGGTTAAACCCAGGATGGATCATAGGCAGGCCAGCCTGGATGTTTCGAACCGGTGAAGATGTTCCAAGAATAGAGAAGGAAGCGTATGACTGTGGCCGAGAAGACCCGAAGCTTCTTGTGGAGCAACAGACCAGGTAGCTTCCACACAGCGTTATACAGCCGATGAGAAGATAATGCAGCTCGACTGATTTGGAGTGAGACCTCTGCTGTCAAACCAGAGCTGGTCATAAGCACACTGCTCAAGTATGGAAACCTCTCCACGCTTTCCACAACTGCCACAACACCAATGGGGAGTTGAAGGGGTGGAGTGATGGAACAAAATACCCAAGCAGGTGCTTAGTTTTGGAGGGGCTGATGATAAGGCCCCACCACTTAGTAGCATGCTCCAGGTTCAGCAGCAGCGCCTCCAACTCCTCATCAGAGTGAGCAGCAATCACCAGATCATCAGCATCTATGTGATGACTCTATGGGTCTCTGTGTGATGACTCTATGGGTCTCTGTAATGAGTCCATAGACGGCAACAAAACAATGTTTACGTTACCAGGTGTGAGGCCCCACTGAGCTGTGTGGCTCTTTTGTCAGATAAGTGACGTGGCCACCACACAAATGATAGCAGCTCAACAGAATTGGCTTATCACGTGGGAATCTATAGTAACCAATTACCCTAAACGCGTGACGTTGCTTCTAAACGTGGAAGGGAAAACCGGAGGAGCCGGAGAAAATTCCACGCGACCTCGGGGAGAGAGAGAGAGAGAAAGAAACCCACGAAACTCCAAATATAGTGAAACTCATGCTCACCGACATCCTCCTCGGACAACTCCACCTCGATGAAGTTCTGGTCTGCGGTGAAGAGACATCCGTGAGATTCCTCTGTCTCCTCCGGACTCTCGATTGCGTCTGCGGCTGCAACGTCAGAAAAAGCGTCACCATGGCCTTTGGACGAGTGGGGGGTGAAACGCACCCGAAGATCGTGCAGTCAAGCTGCCAGCTGGGGATGTTTCCCCTTCCGCATATTAATTGATGAGAGTGGTCTCTCGGTTAACGATATTTCGTTGGTTCCACGAAAAACCGTCGTTAATCGAAATGATCGTGAATCGAACATAGCAAATGCACGTTGAAGGCTTAATTTGATAATAAGTTGACCTTTTTCACACTAAAAACACGAAAGCTTTAAGTCAACACGCAATTTTAACAAATAAATATTGTAAAAACATATTAAAGCATTAATATTAGTGTAGTGGTTTAACACGCGCCAAGGGGGGAAATTGCACACACGTTAGTAGAAATAAAGTGACGACAGAAAAGCAAGAAGTTGCCCGTGTAAAGTACAGCACTACATTAGTATGAACATGGATAAATAATGCATGATGTAGATGCTTACCCCGAGCTCTCATTTCTCTGATAGTGCGTTGTCTTTGAACTGTGCACCTTTTGGCGTCATCTGGTCCAACACCATATGAGACTAGGCTCTAAGAAAAGCTGTCTCTGGTGTGGACCAATCAGTTTCAAGGACAATGCATAAATGATCAGAGTATTGTTTTTTGTTTGCATTTGACTGCAAGTATGGTTAATGTGAACATGATTGCTTGCAAAAGGTGTCCGTTTTGTTGCCAGAAAAAAGGGTAAAAACCCTATTAGTATCGTACAACACGTCGTTGATAAAAAATTGGAAACCCCATGGGAGGCGGATTGCGAGACGAAACATCGTTACTCTGTGGCATCGTTAAACCGAGGGACCGCTGCATTGGCATCCTGCCCTAGTTTGGTTCTTAACAATCTCAAAGCTGTCGTAGGGAAAGGGGGGGCCTCACCATCATCCTCCACTTCCGTTTTCACCACGATCCTCAGGATCTCAGGGCTCAGGCTCCCCTCGTCCTCCTGCTTCACGACTGCGCCTGCAAATTGGCACACACATTGGAACAGACATTGGCACAGACACAGATAAAGACAAAGATCTCACATATAGTCTCAACAGACTGTTGGGGCAAGTGCTGTTAGCGAGCACCCGTGAAAGCCGGGGGTGGGTGGCCAGCACGACGCCCTTTCGCATGGGCACAAACGTTGGCACAGACATTGGCACAGACCTTTGCGGTGACGAGACGAGGCTGTCGCGGGTCAAAGTGGGGGGGACGACGGACCGGTACCGGCCCGCGGCCCCGGGGTTGGAGACCCCTGGGCTAACAGTTCATAGTGGCATTGTCCCTGTGCTGTCCAACTTTTGGCGTTGCCCTCTGGTCTAAGACTGGTTGAGACGAGGCTCTAAAGAAAGCTGTCCCTGGTGTGGACCAATCAGTTTCAACGACAATGCATCATCATCTACTACCAGAGCATCTTTTTAGTTTGCATGTTCACCACAAGTACTTTGTGTGGTTAATGCAGTGACTTGATTCCTCGCTAAAGGTTTCTGTTTGGTGTTTTAACATCTTAATACCTCCTGTTTTATTGCTACCAGAAAGGGTAAAATATGTTCTTATATGGCCAAATACTCTCAACTCGTGACGTTGATTCTAAACGTGGAGGCAAAGGGAAAACCAGAGGATCCGGAGAAGAAATTCCACGCGACCACGGGAAGAGAAACACGCAGAGTCCACATAGACAGCAGCAGGCATTGTCAGGGTCGGGGTCAAACCCACGACCTCCTGTACACCTGGCGAGGTAGTCAACATCTCACCACGGTGAGAGACGCAGACACTAAATATACAGCAGCAGACATCGTCAGGGTCGGGGTCAAACCCACGACCTCCTGCGTACCAGGCGAGGTAGTCAACATCTCCTAGCCACGGGCAATGCAATCTCACCAGCAGCGTGGGCGTCTTCGTGTTTGACCTTCGCGCCCGGCCCCATCAGGTGATCTTCGTCGTTTTCTCGCTTGATGACGAACGTCGACCTGGCGTGCGAAGCCATCTGGGAGGGAAAACCGATCGAGACTCAGACCCTCCCCCCTTTCACTTAAGATGTTGACACGCACACACACGCGAGAGGCAAACACCCACGAAGACTACAGGGTATAGTGTAGTGTATAGTAGTGTATAGTATAGCGTGTAGTGTATAGTAGTGTATAGTGTAGTGTATAGTGTATCGTGTAGTAGTGTGTAGTGTATAGTAGTGTAGTGTATAGAGTAGTGTATCGTGTAGTGTATAGTAGTGTAGTGTATAGTGTAGTGTATAGTGTCGTGTATAGTAGTGTATAGTATAGAGTATATAGTGTAGTGTGTAGTGTATAGTGTGACCCAGCAGCCAACGCGGCCTCCACAACAAAGACAAAGCTCCCCCGTGTAGCCTTCACAGGCTGTAGGGACAAGTGCTGCCGGCAGCGAGTAGCAGCAGCAGCACCTACGAAGGCTCCCGGCGCTGTGGCTACACACACAGAGGGGGGTGGGTGGCCACCAGAACCACCACGCCCGGCCGCCTTTGTCTCTCCCCCAGTGCGCGCGATGTCCGCTATGCTACACCGCTCCACCAGGGTCCTCATTTGAGGCTGAGTCGACCTAGGGGAGGCCCAGGGACCGGTTCAGAAAATCGTCAACGCAAAGACACCCACGAGTCGCTCACCACGCGAGCTCTCCGCCTCTCTCCTCTCCGCCTCTGTCTCTCTCCTCTCCGCCTTTGTCTCTCTCTGTGTCTGTGTCTCTCTGTCTCCGTTTCTGTCTCTGTGTCTCTGTCTCTCTGTGTGTCTCTGTCTCTCTGTGTCTCTGTCTCTCTGTCTGTCTCTCTCTCTGTGTCTCTGTCTCTCCCTGTGTCTCTCTGTGTTGCTCTGTCTGTCTCTGTGTCTCTCTGTATGTGTCTCTGTCTTTCTATCTGTCTCTCTGTCTCTGTGTTTCTATCTGTCTCTCTGTGTCTCTCTATCTGTGTCTCTCTCTGTCTCTGTGTCTCTACGGCTCTTCCAACCCTTCCCCACTCCTCCCTGCCTCACAGCAAACGCCAAGATGCAGCGCAAGACGCAAAGTCCGGCGGGGGAGAAAATGTTGCAGCGAGAGTCTGAGGGTGCAGTGTAGTGTATAGTGTAGTGTATAGTAGTGTATAGTGTAGTGTGTAGTAGTGTATAGTGTAGTAATGTGCAGTGTATAGTGTAGTGTATAGTAGTGTATAGTGTAGCATATAGTAATGTATAGTGTAACTGTGTAATCTTGATTTGAAGTTTTCGTGACTGCAGGGATCCATACTCTTTGGTTCTTTCGGTAAAGTCAGGTAGGTACAAAATAAATTAAATCACGACTTTTCGATCGCAACACAAGCAATCATCATCAGTTGGGAAAACCACGGCAAGAAAATGTTTGCTGAAGTGGGAGAGAGATACCGTGGTTAAGAGGTTATACTTATAGGAACCTCCTGGTTACACCAGCCCACAGGGGATTATTGTGTCCGTCCGTCGTGCAGGGAGGGGCTGGGTGGAGAGGAGGGTGGGGCTGGGTGGGGAGGGGAGGGTGGAGAGGGGCTGGGTAGGGAGGGTAGGAAGGGGCTGGGTGGGGGGTGGGAGGGGTGGGGCTGGGTGGGGAGGGGCTGGTCACCCCGTGGTGCCCTTATAAAACTCAACGTTTAACCTACTCACGCCGGCTTGTGCCCGCCCTCACAGTCGGGCATATTTGCGGAATACACCACGCCCTGGCCGTTGACCCTGGCCATTGACCGAGCAACCCAACGTTCCTACCAGCTCCCTCCGCAGGAATGTGTTATAGGTAAAAGAGGGGGGAGGGGCAAGGGAGGGGGGTAGGGGAGCGTTGCGTGGACGCTAGGAGAGGGAGACTTGAAGCTGGAAAGGGAGAAGTTGGCGGAGCTGGAAGTGGGAGGCTGAGAGAGCTGAGGATGCGTAAAAGTGCCAATGAAGCCAACAACCTCAATGCAGCAATGCCAGAAGCAGGGGATGCAATTCACTCGGTAAAATAGACTAGTGCCCGGTAAATATAGGTAGTCTTCTACTTACGATGGAGATGCGTCACGACGACCCCATCGTAAGTCAAAAATATCGTAAGTCGAAGATGGCCTCGCCTACCCAGGAGTCTTAAAGAATGGTGATAATTTAGCAAAACAGAGCAATTTACAGTAGCGTACTGTATAAACTATATACTGTATTTATTAAATACAATACTGAATTGCACAGTAAAATGTAAAGTATAAAAAACAAGGTAAATTATTAGCCTACCTATATGAACTGCAATTTAATAGGAAACAATCCTATCTGCTATATAAAAAACTTTTAACATGCATTGAACGTATTGTATCGTATCATATTGTACTGTACTCACCAAGATTCTGTCCGTCGTCTGCATTCTTGAACGATGTTAGGTTGTTGATGGCTTCATTAACTTAGTTGTCGGAAGAGGATGGCGATGATAAAGTACAGAATCGTACCTCGTACGCTGCTGCGTTTGCCTGCCGCGCGAAATATAAAATATTGTACAATTTTGTCGTATCGTTATCGCCATCGTAAGATCGAAATATCGTAACTCGGACCATCGTAACTTGGGGACTACCTGTATGATGGAACAACCATAAAGTATTTAAGGTTTTACCTGGTTAATAACATCCTTCCAATGATTGCTTAATTTGTATCCATCTTCTCGGTTGAAATTATGTCTATGTTTATACATTTGGATGGCTTCATGAACAAACCTTTGATAGTAGTCCAAAGGTTTGCAGAGCACCTTGGTCTCGGGAAAAGCAATATCATGAGAGCCCACAGCGTTATAGCAATGGTCAGCCACGGCGGAGGTATTAGTTCTGCCGTATTTCAGATCTGCCTTGTGCTCGCGAACACGGTCCGAGATATGATGTTTCGTTTCCCAATGTAACACCCACCACAGGTGCAACTTAGTTTGTAGACTCCAAGACGTAGTCTCTCCTTCAGGCTCTTCACACTGACCCCAAACGGTTTCTCTCTCCACCCCTTATATCACCTGGCTCACGTGATGCCACGCAGCCAATCATAAGCCTCTCCCATGGAACCTTCTAGATGTTGCTATACAGCCCCAGGGCTATGGACCTTGGCTCGACGCCCCATTGGCTGCGGGCTGAGGCTGGCAGAGCCTATCACCATCGCCCAGTTACCCCCAGGTGCATCCTCATATTACATCTGTATGTATACCTTTCGGTCTTGGCCAAAAGTAAATTTTTAACTTTCGGCTTTGGTTTCGGGGACCAACTGTCAACATAGCAACGGGCATCACCTGGCAACGGGCGTCCCTAGCAACGGCGTCCCAAGCAAACGGGCGTCCCTGGCAACAAACGTCCGTGGTGACATCGTCCCTGGCAACAGGCGTCCCAAGCAAACGGGCGTCCATGGCAACGGTGTCCCTAGCAACAGCTTCCCTAGCAACAGGGGTCCCTGGCAATGGCATCCCTAGCAACAGCTGGGCCTGCAATCCGTGACAGGAGCCTGGCGATTGAATGAGGTAAAGAATGAAGAGGTTTTAGTGATTGAACGAGAGAGGAATATGATCGATTTTGACCTCTTAGAAACTTAAAACAAATACGTTACGATTCTGGTTATGTGTGTGTGTATATAGCGACCGAGACAAAGAATCGGAATCAGAATCTTGTCTTTATACTGGAGGAGGAATCCGATGAGTTATGAAGCTCTTTAATCACAGATGTTGAGTTCGGAGCACGAGGTCAGAAAGTCACAACAACAACACAGAACTCACAAACACGACAGGAGTGCAGTGGGCCGAGTCTTCTGCTGGGTGGGTGCAAGGAAAGTGTTATCACTGAGCACGAGCAAAAGGTGTGTGTGACCACAGTCAGCCTGCTCTCCAGATTATCTATCCACTCGTGGAGGTGATTCGTTACATTCTGAAAATGTATCGTTTACTTAAAACCGAAACAGGAGGATTTCTCCACAACTCTGGCCGTCGACTGACGAGCCTGGATGTCACGGTACTCGAATTCTAAACGTCGTAGCGGGTTTACTCTACGACACACAACCGGTTAGTGCTGTACTAGTCACGAATTGGCAAGTTTTGTTTACGTGACAAACTAATTGGCATCTAAACCAAAAAAACCCTATAACATGGATAATATTGGTCACGAACGCCTACTACTACTACTAAGATGTTACACTGTACAGTATAAGAATTTGCGGTGAAACAAAATAAATATATACAAGGTGCTTCAAAAAAAGTGATGACACTTCTGAGAATTTGCAACAATACCACGAGAAATGTGCCTCCGGGCTCTGGAGACCATCTGGAGAAGATTACAGGCGTGAGTTGACAATGACGGCGAACAAGTGGGAGACTGGCTTTTTTAAAGCTATTAACATTACATTTGTTATCATGTTACGGTTTATTATCCGTTCTCTTTACATTCAAAATGATAATCCCATATAAGTGTTAAAACATTTTTTGAAGCACACTGTATACACGTTAAGCGACAAAACCACTGGTTTTCAAATGGGAGGCATAAAAAAAAACCCATTCGGGACACGCGAGGTTTTCACTTGAGCGCGTGCGTCTTTGAGTGCCTCTTCAGCTGACCGCTCTGCGCAAACCCCTCGCCGCACTCCTTGCAAACGTGCGGCTTCTCGCCCGTGTGCGTCCTCACGTGCGCCGTCAGCGTTGAACTCTGCGAGAAAGCCTTCCCGCACTCTTTGCACACGTACGGCTTCTCGCCGCTGTGTGTCCTCCGGTGCTTCTCCAGATCCGAGCGCTGCGCAAAGCCCCGGCCGCACTCTTTGCACGAGTGCGGCCACTCGCCAGTGTGCATCCTCGCGTGCGCGTTCAGGGTGGCGCGGAGGGCGAAGGCCCTGCCGCACTGCTCGCACGCGTACGGCCTCTCGCCAGTGTGCGTCCTGGAGTGCGCCTCCAGGGAGGAACTCTGCGAGAACCCCTTGCCACACTCCTTGCAAACGTGCGGCTTCTCGCCCGTGTGCGTTCTCACGTGCGCCGTCAGCGTGGAACTCTGCCCGAAGCCCCTGCCGCACTGCTTGCACACGTACGGCTTCTCGCCGCTGTGCATCCTCCGGTGCTTCTCCAGATCCGAGCGCTGCGCGAAGCCCTGGCCGCACTCGGTGCACACGTGCGGCCACTCGCCCGTGTGCGTCCTCGCGTGCGCCTCCAGGGAGGAGCGCTGCGCGAAGCCCTTCCCGCACTCCGTGCACATGTGCGGCTTCTCGCCCGTGTGTGTCCTCGCGTGCTCCGCTAAGTGGGAGCGCTGCGCAAACTCCCTCCCGCAATCGGCGCACGCGTGCCTCCGCCGGTCGCCGGCGACCGCCGCGCACGACGGTGCCGTGGCTTCCAGCGGCTTGCCACACCGCACGCAGGAGGCTCCCGGCGTGGCGGCCGCTCGTCCGGCGTCGTCCGCCCTCGTCCACAAGCGTCGTCTGCCCGCCTCGCACTCCTCGCACAGTAGTTCCGTTCCTGCCGCATTGTCTGCCGCACATTTTCACCAAAGGCAAAATGCAGAGTTTGATGTTAAACAACACGAAGAAAGACGAGGCACGGAGTTCAGGAAACGGCAGCGCCGTTAAGGCTTTAGCTCCTCAGCTTCTCTTTTCTTTGACGTACGGGAGGCCCGGGGCCGGTTCAGATAATCGCCGTCACCGGTATTGGTGGCCGTGAGCGGGAATCGAACTCGGGTTTTTACTCCGCCAAAAACAAAACGATGGCCGTTTTCTCTCAAACGACGCCGGTTTATGCCAAGCGTACGAGTCCCGCAGTGGACATCGCTTCAGCTAGTGGTGCGTCTGGGATATACGACAGGTGATACAAACAAAAAGACGTATTTTATCTGTCACGTTATCAATCTAAAACTAAACTTTTTATGCTAACAGGTGTAGCCCCCCACTGGGCTATGTAGTAGATCTTTCTCAGAAGCGACCAGCCCATCACAAATGACAGCTCAACAAAGGGGCTGATGTCATCATCACGTGGACATTTATAGCAGCAGCGAAATACTCTAAACGTCTATGGGTCTCTATGTGATGGGGTTATGGGTCTCTGTGTGATAACTCTATGGGTCTCTATGTGATGGGGTTATGGGTCTCTGTGTGATGACTCTATGGGTATCTATGTGATGGGGTTATGGGTCTCTGTGTGATGACTCTATGGGTCTCTGTGTGCTGAGTCCATGGGTCTCTATGTAATGAGTCTATGGGTCTCTGTGTGATGACTCTATGGGTCTCGTGGAGGGAAAAAACGGAGGAGCCGAAGAAAATTCCACGCGACCTCGGGGAGAGAGAGAGACACCCACGAAACTCCGAATATAGTGAAACCTCACACTCACCGACATCCTCCTCGGACAACTCCACCTCGATGAAGTTTTGGTCTGCGGTGAAGAGACATCCGTAAGATTCCTCCGTCTCCTCCGGACTCTCGATTGCGTCTGTGGCTGCAACGTCAGAAAAAGCGCCACTGGCCTTTGGACGAGTGGGGGGTGAAACGCACCTGAAGATCGTGCACTCAAGCTGCCAGCTGGGGATGTTTCCCCTTCCGCATATTAATTGGTGAGAGTGGTCTCTCGGTTAACGAAAAACCATCGTTAATCAAAATGATCGTGAATCGAACATAGCAAAATGCACGTTAAAGGCTTATATGATAAGTTCAACTTTTTCACCCTAAAAACATCGTTTGTATGCTTAAACACACAATTTTATATTCTTTGGGTTTTTCGGTAAAGCCACGTAGATAGAAAAATAATAATAAGACCCAAAGAATATGAATTCCTGCAGTCACGAAAGCTTTAAAGTCAACACACAATTTTAACAAAAAAACGTTGTAAAAACATGTTAAAGCATTAATATTAGTAGAAACATGGATAAAAAATGCATACATAGGGCATAAAAAAGGTGCATGACGAGCATAACCATACACGTCAATCACTTATCAGTGCCCGACCTCATTACAGACCAATTCAGACCTTATTGGTCACCCCGTGCCCCTTATAAATCCCAAAGTTCATCCTACAAAGTCCCATCACAAGCGAGAAAATACAAACAAATAGACAAAATAATGTTATTTTGAAGCTTTCGTGACTGCAGGAATCCATACTCTTTGGTTCTTTCAGTAAAGTCACGTAGGTATAAAATTACAATTAAATTTTAAAAAAATTACATATCACGACGTTTCGATCGCAACACAAGCGGTTGTCCTCATGTGGAAAAAAATAATCCAGCAGTAGAACTGCTGAACCAGGAAGAACACAGCGAGAGAGCCGTTACAACGAAGAAGTTCTATATGTGGCGAAGGGCAAGCAGGCGGGGTCTGAGCTGGAAAGGAATTTCATCCCCGCACGCAAGTACGTCAGTTGTATTAATGGGGGAGATTAGGGAGAGAGAGATTAGGGAGAGAGATTAGCATGAAATGAGCTTCCGTCGCGCATAAGAGTATCGTCCCCGCATATGCGCACAACAGCAGTGTTAATGGGAGATTAGCACTATGTTGATGGAAGAGATTAGGCAGAGAGATTAGGGGGATTAGCAAAAATAATGTTGTCCGTATTGAAACGGCTGTACGCCGTATGGAACTGAAAACTCAATTTCCCAGTACAAGAATAGGCCGAGAAGGCTTAAGTATTCAAGAGAGCCGTTTCCAGAAGCAACGCAACATCAAACATCGAAAAGCCCGCAGCCAGCCGCCCTCAAAACGCTCGTAAAAGGGGCGGTCGTGGATTGGCTGAGGTCTGCTGGGTCCACTTGGGAGCGCTCCGATTGGCCGAAATTGGCGGCTCCGCGTGGTATCGTACAACACGTCGTTTATAAAAAAAGAGTATCGCAAACAGAAACAATGGGAACCCCCTTGAAAGGCGGATCGCGAGTCGAAACATTGCTACCCTGTGGCATCATTAAACCGAGGGACCTCTGCATTGTTATCCTGCCATAGTTTGGTTCTTAACAATCTCAAAGCTGTCGTCGGGAAAGGGGGCCTCACCGTCATCCTCGAATTCCGTTTTCACCACAATCCTCAGGATCTCGGGGCTCAGGCTCCCCTCGTCCTCCTGCTTCACGACTGCGCCTGCAAATTGGCACACACATTGGAAAGCCGGAACCGTACATGAGGGGGTGGGTGGCCAGCACGACGCCCTTTCGCATGGGCACACACGTTGGCACAGACATTGGCACAGATGTAATGGGTTCCGGAGACACTTGTTGAGGTAACTTCTTTATTACAATACAACACTCCAACAGTCCTGATACTCTGTTACAGCCTAGGTACACAGCCTAGATACACTACTCTGGCTATGCTGTTCACTGCACCGATATGCTTGTTCACTGCACCAATATGCTTCGCTATTCCCTTCGACTTCTCCAAAAACTAATTCTAGTTGTTGTACCCGTCAAGAATGAAAGCATTGGCGCCAGCGTCAGGATTGGGCTTGGCGAATAGGTAGCAATATAAGCAGTACGCCTTGTCAGTCACTGGAGAATACTCCAATCATTGTTCGCAGTGCTCATTCTTGAACCAGCTCTTAGAGAATGAACGAGGCTGAGCATTCTGGCTGTACTTGGTCCTGGGATATGACTTCAAGTCAGGTTGATGAGGACCGGATTGCAGGTATGCATGTCGCGCGCTATCACGTTCATCCGGTTCGTAATCTGAAATTGGTGTGCGTTTGCTAGGATCTCGTTCAATAGTCACCATAGTACCGCGGTCATCTTAAGACAACCGACTCTTTTTTCGAGCAGGGGATTTTCCACTATCATGTGACGACGGACCCGTTGACACAGGCGCAGACTCCTCTGCCTTTTCTTCTTCAGAATCTTGCTGCAATTCCAAATCCTCCAGCTCACTTCCTGGCTGATCACTTTCTTTATCGCTTTCCGAACCAATTTCTGGATCTGGCTCTGGCACATGTTGAGGCTCAGGCACTGAAGGTGAAAAATAGTCAAACAGAGTTTTTGTTGGTCGCATTGTGCTGTCAGCCTTTCAGCCTGTCAGCCCGCTGCTGCTCACAGAGTGAATCCGAATCCCGATTGTACCAGAAGGCTGTGGCGGATGTACGGAGTTTATTAATAGGTCGGAGCCGCTGATGTGGCTAATAAGTTTGATTAGTTCGAAAAGCTGCCGCTCAAGCAGCCTGCAGGGCAGCACAAGGTGGCAGCCAGCATTTTGCAGCAGCCGGATATCCGATTACCGACTTTCCCAAAATTTCAGGGGGGGCTAAGCCCCCCCCCCTGTGGCTCTGCCCCTGGTGGCCAGCACGACGCCCGACCACCTTTCGCATGGGCAGCAACAACAACCGCCATTCGCCACTAAGTGGCGGTGACATCACAACGACGCATGTGCCAGGCCATGTGCACCTTGAGGTCACTTTAAGTGTCGAATGCCCGCTGGCAGGAGGTCACGGGGCAGACCCAGGTGCCACGGGTCGACTGACTGAGATGACTGGCTGATGCACCACCTGTGCCCCCTACTGTGCCAACTTGCTGTGCTTTAGCCACCCGGTGCTCCGCTTGTTGTTGTGAGCGTCGCTCCTCCGCCCTCCATTGTTGTTGGAGGGCGACTGCCTCCAACTGCCCAGTAGCGTCCTTCACGAGCCTCCTCCACAAAGGCCGATCTTGACACCGCTGGTACCGGTCATCGTCAAGTCCACTCAGCTCCACGTCCTCCTGTAACACATCACTCCATCTCTTCTCTAGCCCGTACTGCGCCCGTTTAGCCCCCTTGATCCGGCCGAACAAAGGCTGTTTAGGCATGCGGTGGCTGGGCATGCGGGCTACATGACCCAGCCAACGCAGACTTGCCTGCTGAAGGAGCTCACCGATGAGACTTTGACCAGATCTTTCGAGGATCTGTGAGTTCCTCACACAATCCAGCCTGGTTAAACCCAGGATGGATCGTAGGCAGGCCAGCCTAAATGTTTCTAACCGGCGAAGATGCTCCATTTGGGGGGTCCACGTTTTGCAAGCGTAAAGAATGGAGGGAATGACTGTAGCCGAGAAGACCTGAAGCTTCGTGTGGAGCGACAGACCAGGCAGCTTCCACACAGCGTTACGCAACCGATGAAAAGATATTGCCGCTCGACTGATTCGGAGTGAGACCTCCACTGCCAAACCGGAGCCGGTTATGAGCACACTGCCCAGGTATGAGAAACTCTCCACTCTCTCCACGCGACCACAGGAAGAGAACACGCAGACTCCAAATATACAGCAGCAGGCGTCGTCAGGGTTGGGATAGAACCCACGACCTCCTGTAGACCAAGCGAGGCAGTCACCATCTCCTCGCCACCGTGATGATGAGAGAGACGCAGACTCCAAATCTACAGCAGCGAGCATGGTCAGGGTCGGGATCGAACCCACGACCTCCTGCACACCAGGCGAGGTAGTCAACATCTCCTAGCACGGGCAATGCAATCTCACCAGCAGCGTCGGCGTCTTCGTGTTTGACCTTCGCGCCCGGCCCCATCCCGAGGCTCGGGTGATCTTCGTCGTTTTCTCGCTTGATGGCGAACGTCGACCTGGCGTGCGAAGCCATCTGAGGGAAAACCGATCGAGACTCAGACCCCCCCACCTTTCACTTAAGATGTTGACACGCACACACGCACGCGAGAGGCAAACACCCATGAAGACTACAGGGTATAGTGTAGTGTATAGTGTAGTGTATAGCGTAGTGCATAGTGTAGTGTCTAGTGTATTGTATTAGTGTATAGTGTAGTGTATAGTATAGTATGTAGTATATTAGTGTATAGTAGTGTATAGTGTAGTGTATAGTTGTGTATAATGTAGTGTATAGTGGAGTATATAGTAATGTATCGTGTAGTGTATAGTGTAGTGTCCGCTACGCTACACCTCATTTGAGGCCCAGGGACCGGTTCAGAAAATCGTCAACGCAGAGACACCCACGACTCGCTCACCACGCGAGCTCTCCGCCTCTCTCCTCTCCGCCTTTGTCTCTCTCTGTGTCTGTTTCTGTGTCTCGTCTCTGTCTCTCTCTGTCTCCGTCTCTCTGTGCCTCTCTGTCTCTGTCTGTGTCTCTGTCTTTCTCTGTCTCTCTGTGTCTCTATCTGTCTGTCTGTGTCTCTATCTGTCTCTGTGTCTCTGTGTGTTGCGTGTTAAACAGTCTAACATGTAGCGTCTGTGTAAGTTGCACTGCGTTGTAGGTTTTCATTATAAAATCACAAATCTGTGTCTCTATCTGTCTCTGTGTCTCTCTGCGGCTCTTCCAACCCTTCCCCCCTCCTCCCTGCCTCACAGCAAACGCCAAGATGCAGCGCAAGACTCAAAGTACGGCGGGGGAGAAAATGTTGCAGCGAGAGTCTGGGGGTGCAGTGTAGTGTATAGTGTAGTGTATAGTGGCGTGTGTAGTAGTGTGTAATGTAGTGTATAGTAGTGTATAGTGTAGTGTATAGTAGTATGCAGTGTATAGTGTAGTGTATAGTGTAGTGTGTAGTGTAGTATATAGTAGTGCATAGTGTAGTGTGTAGTAGTGTATTTGTGTAGTGTGTAATAGTGTATAGTATAGTGTATAGTAGTGTATAGTCGTGTAGTGTGTAGTAGTGTATAGTGTAGCGTATAGTGTAGTATGTAGTAGTGTATTTGTATAGTGTAATGTATAGTAGTGTATAGTGTAATGTATAGTAGTGTATAGTAGTGTATAGTGTAGTGAATAGTAGTGTATAGTGTAGTGTATAGTGTAGTATCGTGTCTGTCGAGCACGTTGTTAAGTGGTTATCACCTGAATAGTCGCTTGCTATGAAGGGTGCGGTTGGTGTCCAGATATCAGCACAGGTCATGGAGTAAACCCGTGCACCTCCGATGAGCACGGTCGGCTATGTACGGTGGTGAAAGAAGTTCAGCGTCCATAATACTACACTATACACTACATACTACACTACACTATACACTACACTATACACTAATATACACTACTATACACTACACTATACACTACATACTACACTACACTATACACTAATATACACTACTATACGCTACACTATACACTACTATATGCTACACTATACTATACATGACTATACACAACATACTACATTATACTATACTATAGAGTGTGACGAGAAACCCAGCAGAAAGCGGCTGGAGTGTGACGGCGAAGCCAGCAGAAAGCACGTGGAGTGTGACGGCAAAGCCAGCAGAAAGCGGCTGGAGTGTGACGGCGAAGCCAGCAGAAAGCGGCTGGAGTGTGACGGCGAAGCCAGCAGAAAGCGGCTGGAGTGTGACGGAGAAGCCGATAGAGGGTGGCTGCAGAGGCGGGAGAGCCGCGGGAGAGTCGCGGGAGAGCGGCTGAACTGTGACGGGGGAAGCGGAGAGGAGAGTCGACGGAGACGCGGAGCGAGCGAGGCCAGCGGAACGCGGCGAGCGAGCGGAGAGCGTGTGGGGCAATGTTAAATGATGTTGGTGAAATAAATTAACGAAGGAAAAGTAAGAAGCTGTCGCGTGAAGTTCAGCACTACATATACACTACACACTACACTACTATATACTACACTATACACTACACGATACACTACACTAGACACTACACTGCACCCCCAGACTCTCGCTGCAAAATTTTCTCCCCTGTGGGACTTTGCGTCTTGCGCTGCATCTTGGCGTTTGCTGTGAGGCAGGGAGGAGGGTGGAAGGGTTGGAAGAGCCGCAGCTATAGACACAGAGACAAAGACTTTTGACTTTTAAACAACTTTTTTTGCCGCCAGCAGCAACAGCACTGGAGGCGATTTCGATAGAGACACAGAGACAGAGACACAGAGAGACAGAGACACAGAGACAGACAGAGAGAGAGACAGAGACACAGAGAGACAGAGATACACAGACAGAGAGAGACAGAGACACAGAGAGACAAAGGCGGAGAGGAGAGAGGCGGAGAGCTCTCGTGGTGAGCGAGTCGTGGGTGTCTCTGCGTTTACGATTTTCTGAACCGGTCCCTGGGCCTCCCCTAGGTTGACTCGGCCTCAAATGAGGACCCTGGTGTAGCGTAGCGGACACTACACTATACACTACACTATACACTACTATACACTAAACCATACACCACTATACACTACTATACACCACACTATACACTACACTACTTTACACTACACTATTCACTACTATACACTACACAAAACACTACTATACACTACACTATATACTCTACTATACACTACTACTACACTACACTATTATACACTACACAATACACTACTATACACTACACTATACACTACTATACACTACACTTTACACTATCCCCTGTAGTCTTTGTGGGTGTTTGCTACTCGCGTGCGTGTGTGTGCGTGTGTGTGTGCGTGTCAACATCTTAAGTGAAAAGGGGGGGGGGAGTCTGAGTCTCGATCGGTTTTCCCTCTCAGATGGCCTCGCACGCCAGGTCGACGTTCGCCATCAAGCGAGAAAACGACGAAGATCACCCGAGCCTCGGGATGGGGCCGGGCGCGAAGGTCAAACACGAAGACGCCGACGCTGCTGGTGAGATTGCATTGCCCGTGGCTAGGAGATGTTGACTACCTCGCCTGGTACGCAGGACGTCGTGAGTTCTATCCCTAACCTGACGATGCCTGTTGCTGTATATTTGGAGTCTGTGTGTCTCTCATCATCATCACGGTGGCTAGATGTTGACTACCTCGACTGGTGTGTAGGAGTTCGTGGGTTTGACCCCGACCCTGACGATGCCCGCTGCTGTATATTTGGAGTCTGCGTCTCTCTCATTGTGGTGAGATGTTATGTTGACTACCTTGCCTGGTGTGCAGGAGGTCGTGGGTTTGACCCCGACCCTGACGATGCCCGCTGCTATATATTTGGAGTTTGCATATTCTCTTCCCGTGGTCGCGTGGAATTTCTTCTCCGGATCCTCCGGTTTTCCCTTTGCCTCCACGTTTAGAATCAACGTCACGAGTTGAGAGTATTTGGCTGTAACAGAACATATTTTACCCTCTCTGGCAGCAATAAAACAGGAGGTGTTAAGATGTTAAAACACCAAACAGAAACCTTTAGCGAGGAATCAAGTTACTGCATTAACCACACACAGTCCTTGTGATGAACATGCAAACAAACACCACGCTCTGGTAGTAGATGATGATGCATTGTCTTTGAAACTGATTGGCCCACACCAGAGACAGCTTTCTTCAGAGCCTCGTCTCAAACACTCTTAGGCCAATCTAGAATTGAAGTTTTCGTGACTGCAGGGATCCATACTCTTTGGTTCTTTCGGTAAAGTCACATAGGTAGAAAATAAAATAAATTTAAATCACGACGTTTCGGGCGCAACACAAGCATCCGTCATCAGGTGGGACAACCACAGCAAGAAACAATTGCTGAAGTGGGCAAAATGGGCTGCTGCAACAAGAGGCCATTTCGGCTTAGACCAGAGGACAACGCCAAAAGTCGGACAGCACAGGGACAATGCCGCTATGAACTGTTAGCCCAGGGGTCCCCAACCCCTGGGCCATGGGCCGGTACCGGTCCGTGGCCTATTAGGAATCGGGCCACACAGCAGGAGGCGAGAACGGTGAATCCGCGCGTGGCCCGCCCATTATTTTATTGACCACTTCCGTCCGCGCCTCTTTCCCGCACTGCGCACTTGTCTCAGCTTGTGTTGCCTCCGAAACGTTGTGACTTTACCGAAAAAAAAACAGAGTATGAATTCTTGCAGCCACGAAAACTTCAAATCTAGAATTAGGTTTTGGTAAGCCTACAAGCTAACCCCTGGCCAAATGAGTAAAAAACAAACGTCGCCGGAGAGCTTCTTTGAAAAGGGGAAAAGACCCAATGATGACCCCCCTCTGGTCCGTGAAAAAATTGTCGTCCACGAAACCGGTCCCTTGTGCCAAAGAGGTTGGGGACCGCTGTGTTAGGCTCCTCTGAATCTCCACATGATGAGCTACTTGGTTGAGGTGTCATTTGGTGATGTTCAGGTCGCTTCTGAAAAAGCGCTGCACAACTCAGTGGGGCCTTGCACTAGCTAAAATTTAATCGTTTCTCGAGGCCAGGATAGAGTCTCAGGCTCCACGTGAAAAGGTTCCGCACCACGGGAATTTTGATTGAGGGCCGTCATTAAGACCCGGATTGGGATCGCAGCAGCTCTTCCCAATGCTCGGCCCCGACCCCGCCACTTGAACGTTGACGATTCGCCATCCTGACGTCGGTGTGACGGACGCCCTCGGCGACTGGGACGGCTAGATGCGTGTGGGGAATGCGTGACGAACGTTTGCGTTGTACCGTCATGTTCCAGATAACGGAGCTCATCAGGTCATCCGTGTAGGGCCACAACGTCATCTCCTGTGTTCCAGATAACAGAGCTCATCAGGTGAACAGTGTACAGCCAAAACGTCACCTCCTGTGTTCGAGATAACAGAGCTCATCAGGTGAACCGTGTAGAGCCAAAACACGCGATCGATAAAGCCGCCATGGGCAAAGTCTTCCCGTACTCGCCGTCTCTGACCCCCACACTACGACCCGTCGTCTCGCAGTGACGAGTCGAGGCCGTCTGTGTTTCGATGTGTCTGTGCCAATGTCTGTTCAATGTCTGTGTCAATGCGCGCTTTTGCAGGCGCAGTCGTGAAGCAGGAGGACGAGGGGAGCCTGATCCCCGAGATCCTGAGGATCGTGGTGAAAACGGAAGTCGAGGATGATGGTGAGGCCCCCTTCCCCTACGACAGCTTTGAGATTCATATTCTTGATTCTTTCGGTAAAGTCACGTAGAAGGGAAACAATAAAATAATACAATATAAAACAATCAAATTCTCATGACGTTTCGATTGCAACACAAGCAATCATCATCAGGTGTGAAAACTACAGCAAGAAAATTTGAAAAAAGTGGCGTTTTTTTCTTCACGTTAGCACCACGGACAGCGACTTGGCAGTTGTTCAGATGGACGAGTCCATCTATGTTCGGAAAAGAGGAGGGGGGAGAGGAAGAGAATGGAAAGCGGTCTGAAAGTCACCGTAAGCGTGAACACAATCAATTAAGACCCGAAATGGTTTATCAAATCCTTACAATGATTGCTAAGCCAGAATCCATCTTCTCGGTTGAAATTGTCTCTGTGTTTGTATATGTGGATAGCCTCATGAACGAATCTCTCATGGTAGCCAGATGGCTTGCAGAGAACCTCTGTCTTGGAGAAGTCAATGTCATGTGAGCCCACTGAATTATTCTGTCTTGGAGAAGTCAATGTCATGTGAGCCCACTGAATTATAACAGTGGTCTGCCACGGCCGAGGTGTTGGTCCTACCGTGTTTTAGGTTTGCTTTGTGTTCACGGATGCGGTCCGAGACATGTAGTTTGGTTTCTCCAATGTAACTACTACCATAGAGGCAACTTAGTTTGTAGACGCCAGGGTAATGTATGTCCGGAATCACATCTTTTACAGACGGAACCAGATCACTGATTTTATGTACTGTGTTGAATCGGACCTGGATCTTGTGTTTATTCAAGATTTTGGAGATATTTTTTGTGATCCCCGCAATGTAGGGTAAGGTGATGGTTTTGAATGGCTCCTCAAGAGGGTCCTTCTTCATGGTTGGAGTGATGGCTTTGCGGATTGTATAGTCGGAGTAACCATTAGCCTTAAGAGCTTGGTGTACGTGCTTGAGTTCACTGGCAATGTGTTCTGGTCGGAGATGCATTGGGCTCTATGGTGTAGAGTCTTGATGAGGGAATTCTTCTGGGATGGATGGTGGTGGGAATCCGGTTTTAGGTAAGCATCCGTATGGGTAGCTTTCCTGTAGACAGAGTGGCTCATTGAGCCATCATGACCCTTTTATATTAGGACATCCAAAAAAGGTAGCTTGTCACCTTTTTCGACTTCCATGGTAAATCTGATGGATGGGTGTATGGAATTGATGTGGTTGAGGAATTGGTCTAGAGCATGCCGGCCATGTGGCCAGATGACAAAAGTGTCATCCACGTACCTCTTCCATAAGGTTGGGCGTAGAGTGGCAGTCTGGATGGCGGCAGTCTCAAATTTCTCCATGAAAACGTTGGCTACAACCGGAGATGGGGGGAGCCCATTGGCGTGCCCTCAGTTTGTTTGTAGAAAGTTCCATTCCAGGTGAAGTATGTATTGGTTAAGCAGTGTCTCACCAGGGGTGGTACCTCAGTGTTCAGTTCTTGATGAACCAAGTCTTCAATTATTGCGATGGTGTCAGGTACAGGAACTTTGGTGAATAAGGAAACCACATCAAAACTGACAAGCAAGTCGCCAATGCAGCGATCCCTCGGTTTAACAATGACACAGGGTAGCGATGTTTCGACTCACGATCCGCCTCCCATTTTTTCTGTTCGCAATACTTTTTTTTTATGAACGACGTGTTGTACAATAGCACGCAGAGCCGGCAATTTCGGCCAATCAGAGCGCTCCCAAGTGGACCCGGCAGACCTCAGCCAATCAGCGACTGCCCCTTTTATGAGCGTTTTGAGGGCGGCTGGCTGCGGGCTTTTCCATGTTTGATGTTGCGTTGCTTCTGGAAACAGCTCTCTTGAATATTACCGTACGGTTTGTTGTACAGGGAAATTGAGTTTTCACGTCCATACGGCGTACAGCTATTTAAAATACGAGCAACATTATTTAGTCTATTTGTATTTCTCTCCTTGTGATAAGGGGTTGACAAGTATGCTGTAGTCTAGTGTGCAGTAGTGTATAGTAGTATAGTAGTGTAGTGGTATAGTAGTTTAGTATAATATATAACAGAGCTCATCAGGTGAACCGTGTAGAGCCACAATGTCACCCCCTGTGTTCCAGATAACGGAGCTAATCAGGTGAACCGTGTACAGCCAAAACACGCGATCGATAAAGCCGCCACGGGCAAAGTCTTCCCATACTCGCCGTCTCTGATCCCCCCACTACGACCCATCGTCTCGCGGTGACGAGTCGAGGCCATCTCTGTTCCGATGTATCTGTGCCAATGTGTCTGTGCCGATGTCTGTGCCGATGTCTGTGTCGATGCTCACTTTTGCAGGCGCAGTCGTGAAGCAGGAGGGCGAGGGGAGCCTGAGCCCCGAGATCCTGAGGATCGTGCTGAAAACGGAAGTGGAGGATGACTGTGAGGCCCCCTTTCCCTATGACAGCTTTGAGATTGTTAAGAACCAAACTATGGCAGGATGCTAATGCAGCGGTCCCTCGGTTTAATGATGCCACAGGGTCGCGATGTTTCGACTCGCGATCCACCTCCCATGGGGTTCCCATTGTTTTTGTTTGCGATACGTTTTTTTATCAACGACGTGTTGTACGATACCACGCGGAGCCGCCAATTTCGGCCAATAATCGAAGCGCTCCCAAGTGGACCCAGCAGATCTCAGCCAATCCACGACCGCCCCTTTTACGAGCGTTTTGAGGGCGGCTGGCTGTGGGCTTTTCGATGTTTGGTGTTGCGTTGCTTCTGGAAACGGCTCTCTTGAATACTTAAGCCATCCGCCTTCTCGGCCTAAGGTAAGACTTTTTATTTTATGAATACCGCGTCAACCCGTACGGTTGACCCCGTATTCTTGTACAGGGAAATTTAGTTTTCAGGTCCATATGGCGTACAGCCGTTTCAATACGGACAACACTATTTTTGATAATCCCCATAATCTCTCTGCCTAATCTCTCCCATTAACACAACTGACGTGCTTGCGTGCGGGGATGGAATTCCTTTCCAGCTCAGACCCCGCCTGTTTGCCCTTCGCCACATATATAACTTCTTCGTTGTAACGGCTTTCTCGCTGTGTTCTTCCTGGTTCAACAGTTCCACTGCTGGATTATTTTGTTCCGCCTGAGGGCAACTGCTTGTGTTGTGATCGAAACATCGTGATTTTAATTTTTTAATTTTTCTACCTGCGTGACCTTACCGAAAGAACCAAAGAGTATGGATTCCTGCAGTCATGAAAGCTTCAAATCAACATGATTTTGTCTATTTGTTTGTATTTCTCTCGCTTGTGATGGGACTTTGTAGGATGAACGTTGGGATGTATGAAGGGCACAGGTTGATCAATAAGGTCTGAATTGGTCTGTAATGAGGTCGGGCACTGATAAGTGACTGACGTGTATGTTTTTGCGCTTTATGCACTATTTTATGCCCTACTTATGCATTATTTATCCATGTTTCTACTAATATTAATCTTTTAACATGTTTTTACACCGTGTATTTGTAAAAATTGTGTTTAAACTTACAAACAATGTTTTAGGGTGAAAAAGTTCAAATTAAGCCTTTAACGTGCATTTGCTATATTCGATTTACGACGGTTTTTCGTGGAACCAACGAAATAACGTTAACCGAGAGACCACTCTCATCAATTAATACGCGGAAGGGGAAACGTCTCCAGCTGGCAGCTTGACTGCACGTCTTCGGGTGCGTTTCACCCCCTACTCGTCCAAAGGCCATGTGGCGCTTTTTCTGACGTTGCAGCCGCAGACGCAATCGAGAGGCCGGATGAGACGGAGGAATCTCACGGACGTCTCTTCACCGCAGACCAGAACTTCATCGAGGTGGAGCTGTCGGAGGAGGATGTCGGTGAGCGTGAGTTTCACTTTATTCGGAGTTTCGTGGGTGTCTCTCTCTCCCCGAGGTCGCGTGGAATTTTCTCCGGCTCCTGCGGTTTTTCCCTCCACGTTTAGAATCAACGTCACGCATTTAGGGTAATTGGTTACTATAGATTCCCACGTGATAAGCCAATTCTGTTGAGCTGCTATCATTTGTGTGGTGGCGACGTCGCTTATCTGACAAAAGAGCCACACAGCTCAGTGGGGCCTCACACCTGGTAACGTAAACATTGTTAAGTTGCCGTCTATGCCTCTATGGACTCATTCCATAGAGACCCATAGAGTCATCACACAGACCCATAGACTCATCACATAGAGACCCATAGAGTCATCACACAGAGACCCATAGACTCATTACATAGAGACCCATAGAGTCATCACACAGAGACCCATAGACTCATCACATAGAGACCCATAAACTCATTACATAGAGACCCATATATCCATCACACAGAGACCCATAACCCCATCATAATATGATTTCGGAGTCCCAGACACTGTTCACAATTATTACGACGCGACAGGAACGGAACTCCTGTGCGAGGAGTGCGAGGCGGGCGGACGACGCTTGTGGACGGGGGCGGACGACGCCGGACGAGCGGCCGCCACGCCGGGAGCCTCCTGCGCGCGGTGCGGCAAGCCGCTGGAAGCCACGGCGCCGTCGTGCGCGGCAGTCGCCGGCGACCGGCGGAGGCACGCATGCGCCGATTGCGGGAGGGAGTTTGCGCAGCGCTCCCAATTAGTAGTGCACGCGAGGAGGCACACGGGTGAGAGGCCGTACGCGTGCGAGGAGTGCGGCAAGGGCTTCGCCTACCGCGCCACCCTGAACGCGCACGCGAGGAGGCACACGGGTGAGAGGCCGCACGCGTGCGGCGAGTGTGGCAAGGCGTTCTCTCAGCGTTCCGCGTTGGAGGCGCACACGAGGACACACACGGGCGAGAGGCCGCACGCGTGCGAGGAGTGCGGCAAGGCTTTTTCGCAGCGTTCCGCGCTGGAGGCGCACACGAGGACGCACACGGGCGAGAAGCCGTACGGGTGTGGCGAGTGCGGTAAGGCGTTCTCTCAGCGCTTCGCCCTGGAGGAGCACACGAGGACGCACACGGGAGAGAGGCCGTACGCGTGCGAGCAGTGCGGCAAGGCCTTCGCCTACCGCGCCACCCTGAACGCGCACGCGAGGACCCACACGGGCGAAAGGCCGCACGCGTGTGGCGAGTGCGACAAGACGTTCTCGCAGCGCTCCGCCCTGGAGGTGCACACGAGGATGCACACGGGCGAGAGACCGTACGCTTGCGAGGAGTGCGGAAAGGCGTTCTCGCAGCGCTCCTCCCTGGAGGCGCACACGAGGACGCACACCGGCGAGTGGCCGCACGTGTGCGCCGAGTGCGGCCGGGGCTTCTCGCATTCCGCCCAACTGGAGAGGCACGCGAGGACGCACACGGGCGAGAAGCCGTACGTGTGCGAGGAGTGCGGCAAGGGGTTTGCACAGAGCGGTCAGCTGAACAGGCACTCAAAGACACACGCGCTCAAGTGAAAACCTCGCGTGTCCCGAATGTGTTTTTTTTTTATGCCTCCCATTTGAAAACCAGTGGTTTTGTCGCCTACCGTATATACAGGGTGCTTCAAAAAATGTTTTAACACTTTTGTGGAACTATCGTTTTGAATGGAAAAAGAACGGATAATACACCGTAACATGATAACAAATGTAATGTTAATCATTGTCAAGTCATGCCTGTAATCTTCTCCAGATGGTCTCCAGAGCCCAGAGGGGCACATTTCTTGTAGTATTGTTGCAAATTTTCAGAAATGTCATCACTTTTTTTGAAGCACCCTGTATATATTTATTTTGTTTCACCGCAAACTCTTATACTGCACAGTGTAACATCTTAGTAGTAGTAGTAGGCATTCGTGACCAATATTATCCATGTTATAGGTATTTTTTTGGTTTAGTTGCCAATTCGTTTGTCACGTAAACAAAACGAAACAATTTGTGACTAGTACAGCACTAACCGGTTGTGTGTTATAGAGTAAACCCACTACAACGTTTAGAATTCGAGTACCGTGACATCCAGTCTCGTCAGGCGACAGCCAGAGTTGTGGAGAAATCCTGCTCCTGTTTCGGTTTTAAGGTCACCGGGAGCGAGAACTTAAGGGGTCTATACAGGCTGGGCCATAAGTAACGACCTTGATTTGTTTAGCCTATGGCTTGTGAAAAAGTGAAATAAAAACACGAATTCTAAATGATGGAACTTTTATGAATTCATGGAGATTCGATTTCATTCCTCATGAACACCCCAGAGCCTGCAAATGTTGTTTGTTGATTAAGCCGCCATGGGGAAAATGACCTTCTTCTGACATCATTAAATTTGTGACTAAAATCAGCCGTCTTGGTCTGCAAGTTCACCGCGAGCTTTGGTGGTCTCTGGGCTGCAATTCTTGCACCGGCTGAATCTTCCACGGGAAAAAAAGAGACCCTTTACCCACAATCGGCGTAGTGTATAGTAATGTATAGTGTCGTGTAAAGTGTAGTGTATAGTGTCGTGTATAGTGTAGTGCATAGTGTAGTGCATAGTGTATGGTATAGTGTGTGTATGTTGAACTTTTTTCACACCCTACGTAGCCAACAACAAACTAAACACAACAACAAGCAGCAGCTCTAGAGAAGTGAGTTTTCAATCAAGATTTTATCAACCCCGATAGTCGATGATTAACTTTGAGAGGCCAGAGGGTGAACCGTTACATTGGCCGTCAGCGACCGCCATGCGGTCACCTGTTCAGCGGAACGTCGTCTTCTCATCGAAATCTCGAGGGGGTTCCCATTGACCCCTCGCCCTTAACTTGCTCAATACAAGCGCGGAGATCGATCGGTTCGACGTCTGCCCGACGCAATCCCTCGCGTCCACCCTGTTGGTTTTCAAAATTCGGGAAATCAAAACGGCCCCAATAGGGTGGCGGACTTGGGGGTCTTAAAATGTCTGCGATAGTCTCCGCTCTGTGTTGAAATGATTGAACGACGGTTTCTGAAATCTTGATTTGAAGCTTTCGTGACTGCAGGAATCCATACTCTTTGGTTATTTCGGTAATGCCACGTAGGGAGAAAAATAATAGATCACGACATTTCGATCGCAACACAAGCAATCGTCATCAGGTGGCACAACCACAGCGAGAAGTAGTACCGAAAGAACCAAAGAGTATGGTTTTTGAAATGTCAACTATTCTTGCACGCTGCTGAGGTGTCTTGCCGGTTCGTCGTAAACTCCCCATGCGTCCACTTTATTTCTGCGCGTGTTTTTACGTTTCGTTTACAAAATAATTGAACACAAAATTGCCGCTCTTTCAAAGCGGGTCGTTATGGCCCATTCTGTAATGTGGGGAATGGAAGGCAAGGGCCCGAGGAGCAAAAGTAAAGTGGATCAGAATCCAGTTGATCGTCGATTATCCGGCTGCTTCCAACATTATCCGGCGGTCCGGCAAAGCCCGCTCCAAAAGCTGCGACCCAGTCCGGCGATCGTTAAAACACACATCATGGTTGTTGAAACATAGCCTTCATAGTGCTACGGACATCGCCCCACGCAAAGTCTTCAAGATTGGAGTGGTAAGTACGGTAGAGTAGATGCAGTCACTCGTTTTTTTTGACAATATGCTATTTAGATTTGTAAGTTCGTGCCAATTTTATTGAAGAAGACCCCAGGGGGCCGGCCCAGGACAGGCTGCTGGCGGGACGACGTTGCTCGGTTGGCCTGGGAATGCCTGGGAATTCCCCAGGAAGAGCGAGAGTCTGAGTGTAGTAGTGTATAGTGTAGTGCATAGTAGTGTATAGTATTGTATAGTGTAGTGTATAGTAGTGTATAATGTAGTGTATAGTGTAGCGTATAGTAGTGTATAGTAATGTATCGTGTAGCGTATTGTAGTGTATAGTATTGTATAGTGTAGTGTATAGTGTATAATAGTGTAGCAGTGTATAGTAATGTGTAGTGTATAGTAGTGTATCGTGTAGTGTATAGTCGTGTATAATGTAGTAGTGTATAGTGTCGTAGTTTATAGTAATGTATTGTAGTGTATAGTGTAGTAATGTATAGTGTAGTGTATAGTAGTGTATAGTGTATAGTAATGTATAGTAGTGTGTAGTAATGTACAGTAGTGTATTGTGTAGTGTATAGTAATGTGTAGTGTAGTAGTGTATAGTAATGTATAGTGTAGTGTATAGTGATGTAGTGCTGGAGTCTGTCGCCAGGGAAACAGAAGCGTGGACCGCCACCACTCAACACGTTGCGACCGCCACGACCCTCGCCAAGACAAGCGGATTGAGAAACCAACGAACAAAGATATTCATAAACTCCTTTAAAAAATGTTTTTTTAAACAACGGTTTTATTAACAACTTCGTTTAACTGACGGTCATCGAGAAGTCTGTCAATGGCGCCTGAGACACGTGGCGCCTGCTTTGTGTGCGATTCCACAGTTTAGGGACCGCGGCGTTTTTGACCTACACAAATATATATAGAAATAATAAGGCGTCCATACAAAATGTAAATTGCGTTAAATTAGCGAATTCATTGATGAATTGATGCCGATTTTGATGCAGGCATTGCATTGTCACCGGATCTAAGTACGTGTGCAAAATGTGGAATTGATTGGACAACGGGAAGTGGACGAAATTTTGATTACAAGATTTGACCACAACAGAGGAATAAAGTTAAGTAGAACCGTTGAAATAAGTAATATTTTTTAAAAGTTTTTAAAAACACGCTTTCATGAAATGTACCGTACTAGTAATGGAAGAACTCCACGACTCCATGAAGTGGCCCCGAAGCTTGCCATGACGTAAGGGGCCGTGGTGATTTATAGCCAACGTCAGATGACCGTGGACAATTAGACCAAAGCCGAAACATAACATTTCTTATGATAGAATAGTGTTGTCATCAGTATGACATAAGTATACCAAGTTTGCAGTCGATGCCACATTGGGAAGTGGGTTAAAATTGAGATTTTAGGATACGACAACAACAGAGTGAGTTAATAGAAAGCGTGTAAGAAAAGCATTATACACGACACCTGAAACATTAAAGCCATGCAGGAAAGTGCAAAAATTAAGATATTCCTACGAATGATGATGAGTGATTAATTACACACTGTAACAAAAAAAAAATGTTGGTCCCTGGGTAGAAAGTTTTATTTTCCAATTGCTTATGCCTCAAAAGTACAGAAAATGTCTATTATTCCCCACAAACTTTGCTTTTGTGACCAGGACAGTGATATTTTGAAATGTACCTTAGCTCAATGAGAAAACGTGGTGTGCATTCGTGTCATTCCTTCACGCAAAGTCCTGGTCACAAAAGCAAAGTTTGTGGGGAATAATAGCCATATTCTATACTTTTAGAAGCAAATAGAAAATAACACTTAGTACCCAGGAACAAAAATCGTGTTACATTGTGTAATCGTTGATCCACTGCATATATTGGAGGTATCCGATGAGCTATGAAGCTCTTTAATGACAGATGTCGAGTTCGGGGCACGGGGTCAGAACGTCACAACAGAACTCACAAACACGAAAGAAGTGCAAAGTGCAAGGCAGTTAAACAATCACCCAGACACACACAACAACAACAACAACCGCCATTCGCCACTAAGTGGCGGTGACGTCACCACGATGCTTGTGCCAGGCCAAGTGCACCTTGAGGCCACGTGAAGTGTCGAAAGCCCGCTGGCAGGAGGTCACGGGGCAGACCCAGGTGCCACGGGTCGACTGACCGAGATGACCGAGATGACTGGCTGATGCACCACCTGTGCCCCCTACTGTGCCAACTTGCTGTGCTTTAGCCACCCGGCGCTCCGCTCGTTGTTGTGAGCGTCGCTCCTCCGCCCTCCGTTGTTGTTGGAGGGCGACTGCCTCCAACTGCCCAGTAGCGTCCTTCACGAGCCTCCTCCACTGAGGCCGATCTTGACACCGCTGGTACCAGTCATCGGCAAGTCCACTCAGCTCCACGTCCTCCTGTACCACATCACTCCATCTCTTCTCCAGCCCGTGCCGCGCCCGTCTAGCCCCCTCGATCCGGCCGAACAAAAGCTGTTTAGGCATGCGGTGGCTGGGCATGCGGGCTACATGACCCAGCCAACGCAGCCTTGCCTGCCGGAGGAGCTCACTGATGGGACTTTGCCCAGATCTTTCAAGGATTTGTGAGCTCCTCACACAATCCAGCCTGGTTAAACCCAGGATGGATCGTAGGCAGGCCAGCCTAAATGTTTCCAACCGGCGAAGATGCTCCACCAGGGGGGTCCACGTCTCGCAAGCGTAGAGAAGGGAGGGAATGACCGTGGCCGAGAAGACCTGAAGCTTCGTGCGGAGCGACAGACCAGGTAGCTTCCACACAGCGTTACGCAACCGATGAAAAGATATTGCCGCTCGACTGATTCGGAGTGAGACCTCTGCTGATAGACTGGAGCCGGTCATAAGCACACTGCCCAGGTATGGGAAACTCTCCACTCTCTCCACAACTGCCCCATCACCAATTGGGAGTTGTGGGGGTGGAGTGTCCGATGGTACAAAATACCCAGGCAGGTGCTTAGTTTTGGTGGGGCTGATGGTAAGGCCCCACCTCTTGGTGGCACGCTCCAGTCTCAGCAGCAGCGTCTCCAACTCCTCTTCTGAATGAGCAGCTATTACCAAATCATCGGCATACATAACGTGGTTGACCAATAGGGAGCCATCCCTTGATCGCACCCGGGCGTCGATCAGCCTCCCATTATATCTGTACCAAATGGAAATTCCTCCGGTACAGCTATTGAAGGCTTCACGAACTACGCGGTCAAAATAGATGTTAAATAATGTGGGAGCCAGAGGACATCCCTGTCGCACCCCAAGGTGTACAGGGAAAGGCTCCGACTCCCGGCCACGTAGTTTTACCCGGGCCCGCTCACCATCATGAAGGTCCTTAATGATCGTGAGCAGAGGGTCAGGGACTCCGAAAGCACGAAGAACAACCCAGAGCCCAGTCCTACTGATGGTATCATAGGCCTTGACCAGGTCAATAAAGCAGAGATGTAGGTCTTTTTGGAATTCCCTACACCTCTGCTGTAGCAGACGGACAGAAAATATGGCATCTGTGCAGGACCGCCCTTTCCTGAAACCGCATTGGGGCTCCGCAAGCCTCTCCTCAGCGTGCCTAGCAAGGCGATGTTGAATAATCCTTGCCAGGACCTTACCCGGCACACTGAGGAGTGAGATGCCCCTGTAGTTGTTACAGTCGGTACGGTCCCCCTTCTTAAAGAGGGGAACCACCAGGGCATCCTTCCAGTCCTGCGGAACCTGTCCAGTGGTCCAGACTGTTGTTATGATGTCATATAGGGCAGTCTGTGCACAAACGCCACCCTCCCTCAGCATTTCGCTTGGGAGATCATCTCTGCCCGATGCCTTCCCTGGTCTCAGACTCCGGATCGCCCTCAGTACTTCCTCAACAGCTGGCACCTCAGCCAGCCACTCACAGGGGGTGACCTCTTCCAATATTTGAGGCACCGCAGCCTCAGCAGGGTTATCACCACTTTGTGCCATGATGTTTTCCTGGCTGAGAGAATTTCCCTCCCCCAGGACTTCACAGAAATGCTCAGCAAATCTGCAAACCTGTTCCTGGGGGTCGGAGATTGGATCACCGTTTTTTCCTCTAATGATGGTAATAGGTGTGGCGCTGCAGGTTACTTTTTTGATGGAGTTAAATAGTGATTTGTGATCACGGGCCACTGAGGCAGACTCCATCTCCTCAGCAACCCGCGACCACCACCCATCCTTACAGCGCCTTACGGCTCTCCGAACTTCCGAGCGAAGGCTGCGGTAAACCTCCTCATTCTCTGACGTGGGATGCTGTAGGCGATGAGAGTGGGCCTGACGCTTTTTCTCAATTAACCTGAACACCTCCTCTGTCAGCCAGGGTTTCTGGGGAGGTCTGGACCGCGTACCCAAAGCAGCCATTGCAGCTGCATGAGTCACAGTCTTAAACCTCGCCCATTTCCCCTCGACATCAGGTGGAGTGGGGGACGATGCCAACCCCAGCTGCAAGCGATGATGAAATTCTCGCTTGCAACTTTCATCAGCTGAGACCAGGCCACTTTTGGTTGGAATGGGATCCTGGGTGTACACCCACCACCAGAGTGGAAGAAAGGCAGGCGCATCTTACAGATGACTAGTCGATGGTCAGAGGACAGATCAGCTCCACGGTAGGTCCTGGTGTCAAGGACATGGGTTCGCATCCGCTGGTCCGTCACTATGTAGTCCAGCAGATGTTCTTGCTTGGACCCGGCATGTATCCATGATGTTGTGTGGATGCGCCGATGCCGGAAGAGCGTGTTGGTAATTACAAGCCCATGGGCTGCACAAAAATCTAGCAGCCTCCTACCGTTATTATTGAGCTGATCTGGCCCATGCCTTCCAATCACTCCAGACCAGGTACCAGCATCATGACCAACTCGGGCATTGAAGTCACCCAACAAGATGACTCTGTCCCGAGTGGCCACTTTAGCCAGCACCTGTGACAGGAGGTCATAGAAAGCGTCTGACTCATCGGCTTTGCCTGCATCCCTCCACGGATGTTCGTCTTCGGTGGGGGCATAAGTAACCACGACCACCACTCCTCGCCTCTGGTTGATGGGAAGGCGAGCCCAAAGTATCCTGGGGCTTACAGCTTCCCACACCTCACCGCCACGCTCCCATGCCCCCTTCATTCTTTTGTTCAGAAGAAGAGCCACACCCTGTTGTTTGGCAGTCTCCTGCCCCGAGTAGAGGACTGTCCACCCCTCATGGTGGCAGGAGCCAGAACCGGTCCACCGGACCTCCTGAATGCCACAGAGATCCAGGCGGTACCGGTCCAGCTCCCGACAGAGGAGTGGCAGCCTCTCCTCCGCAGTGAGCGTTCGAACATTCCACGTGGCTATCCGCAATGGTTTTTTGTTGTTTCTGGAGGAGCCCCGAGGGTGAAAATTCAATCTCCTGGCTCCGCCAAATGGGGTTTGGCCAGGAGACGTCATAAAAGCCTGACCCCCCGGGGCCTCCGGCACAAGCTTATTTGTTACAGGTTTATGTTTAATTCGTGGTTTAGTGGTGGTTAATTGAAGGTGGAGGGGTTACCAGCCCCTCACACCCGTCCAGAGCCCCCGTTTAGCCACTGTGGCGGTCACAGACGCCATGAGGGGAGAGGCCAATGGGCATTGGCCCTCCCCCCACAGCACTGCCCACGACAATGTTGCCCGTCCGGCACCGCGAGGAGGTAGGAGGTTGTTTTGCCGGACTAGACACACACAATCACCCAGACACACACAATCACCCAGACACACACAGACACACGCAGACCTACACAGACACATTCACCCAGACACGCACAGACACACACATACCTACACAGACAATCACCCAGACACACACAGATACAAACACTAAACCATTCCCCATCCTAGTTAAGTGTTTGTATCTGTGTCTGGGTGATTGTGTGTGTCTGTGTGTATCTGTGTGTGTCTGTGTGTGGCTGGGTGATTGTGTGTGTCTGGGTGATTGTGTGTGTCTGGGTGATTGTGTGTATCTGTGTGTGTCTGTTGGTCTGTATCTGTGTGTGTCTGTGTGTGTCTGTGTGTGTCTGTGTGTATCTGTGTGTGTCTGTGTGTGGCTGGGTGTGTCTGTGTGTGGCTGGGTGATTGTGTGTGTCTGGGTGATTGTGTGTCTGGGTGATTGTGTGTATCTGTGTGTGTCTGTTGGTCTGTATCTGTGTGTGTCTGTGTGTATCTGAGTGATTGTGTCTGTGTAGGTCTGTGTGATTGTTTAACTGCCTTGCACTTTGCACTCCTGTCGTGTTTGTGAGTTCTGTGTTGTTGTTGTGACGTTCTGACCCCGTGCCCCGAACTCAACATCTGTGATTAAAGCGCTTCATAGCTCATCGGATTCCTCCTCCAGTATAAATACAAGATTCTGATTCCGATTCTTTGTCTCGGTCGCTATATACAGACTCACACATGACCAGAATCGTCAAGTATTTGTTTTAAGTTTTTAAGAGGTCAAAATCGATCTTATTTCGATTTAAAGCTTTCGTGACTGCAGGAATTGATCTTCTTGGTTCTTTCGGTAAAGTCACGTAGAAGGGAAGTAATAAAATGAAAATAAAACATAATAATAAATTATTTTATTATGTTTTATTATTTTATTATGTTTTATTTTTATTATTTTATTACTTCCCTTCTACGTGACTTTACCGAAAGAACCAAGAATATCGATCTTATTCCTCTCTCGTTCAATTACTAAAACCTCTTTCATTCTTTACCTCATTCAATCGCCAGGCTCCTGTCACGGATTGCAGGCCCAGCTGTTGCTAAGTGACGCCGTTGCCAGGGACCTCTGTTGCGAGGGACGCCGTTGCTAGGAACGGCCGTTTGCTTGGGACGCCGTTGCTTAGTGACCCCGTTGTCAGGGACGCCGTTGCTAGGGACGGCCGTTTGCTTGGGACGCCGTTGCTAAGTGACGCCGTTGCCAGGGACGCCGTTGCCAGGTGACGCCCGTTGCTATGTTGGCAGTTGGTCTCCGCGGCCAGCATGAGCGCGTTTGATTTTGTAACGCGGATAAGCACGATCGTGCCAGGCTCTTATTGAAAGTTGTAGTCCACATTAGCGCGTTGTTTTATGCTGCCAAATGGAGAGAGACTTTGTGGTGTTGTGTGGGTGAGTTGGGTTGGGTTTGCATGCCACATTTGAGCTTTTGATTTAACGTCGTTTACAGCAAAGAGCGATGTCCACACACTAAAACAATCTCCACGTGTATCTTCGTCGGGGTTGTTTTAACTTCTAATAATAATAATGGCGATTACTATTAAAACAGCAAGCGCAACTCGCCGCATTCAGAGGGAGGGGGATGTTGTTGCAGCGTTAGTCTTTAAATGGGGGAAAAAAGTGTCGTCAACTTTCCTCTGAATAGAAATGGCATTGCTCTACACGCTGCATACGTGTGGAGCACTGTACACGTGGTTATCCGTGTACAGTGCACGCGGTTATCCGTGTACAGTATACGTGGTTATCCGTGCACTGTACACGGGGCTGTCCGTGTACAGTGCACGGGTTGTCCGTGTACAGTACGCGTGGTTTCCCGTGTAGAGTCCACGTGGTTATCCATGTACTGTACGCGTGGTTATCCGTGTACTGTACGCGTGGTTATCCGTGTACTGTGCGCGTGGTTATCCGTGTACTGTACGTGTGGTTATCCGTTTACTGTACGTGTGGTTATCCGTGTACTGTACACGCGGTTATCCGTGTACACTGCACGCGGTTATCCGTGTACAGTACACACGGTTATCCGCGTGTACAGTACACGCGGTTATCTGTGTACAGCACACGTGGTTATCCGTGTGGGGGGGGGGGGTTGACCCCACGGGGTCCATGTGGGGGAGGGGAGGGGGGGTGACCCCACGGGGTCCCCGCACGGCGATGATCCACATCACCCCGTTGTTGTCGTCGTCTTTCGCAGGCTCCGGGTGCAAGAAGTGCCCCGGGCCGAAGCCGCTCTCGGTGTGTCCAGTAGTAGTAGGTGGTGGTGGATGTGATAATGAGACATCGGTTCCATGTTGGAGTCTGACGCCGCCGAATTCCGTCGCAAGGGAACGGTTCTTGTAAGCCGCCGGGCACGGGCGGTGGGGCGGGGGGGGGGAGCTTTATTGGTCGGATCTCGATAAATACATCGATCATTGGCACGTCAATAAATAATAACGCCTTGGTTGAACGTGACGAGCTTCGTCGGGGGGCGTGGGAGGCGAGGGGGGCAAGGGGGGCAAGGGGGGCGAGGGGAGGGAGGGGGGCAAGGGGGGTGAGGGGGGATCGAACCACGGATGGAAGGTCTCTTTCTCTATTTGGTCAACGCTTCTCCGTTCGCCCCCCCACCCGGCGATCTCTCCTTCTCGGCGGCCATGCCGACCAGCGACCGCAGCAGCGCCAGCTGCACCGGCCGAGCCTCGGGCTGCCGCTCCAGCCAGCACAGCGCCCTCCGGAGGCACTCGCCGGCTTCGGCGTGCGAGACGCCGCAGCCGGGGCTCTCCGCCACCTCGTCCTCCTCCTCCTCCTCCTCGCCATTGAAGTCCCCCTCCACGCCCCCCTCCTCCTCCTCGTCCATTGCCGCACGCCCCGACGCTTCGGTCTCCGTCACCAGGGCGTCGATGTCCTCGTCCGCCAGGATGCGGTAGCCGGGCTCGCCTCCACCGTCGCAACGCGTCCACTCCTCCTCCGCCTCGGCCGCCGCGGCAGCGGCTGCAGCAGCGGCGGCAGCGGCGGCGGAAAGCCGCCCGCCCTGCGCGCAGCAGAGCTGCCGTATGCCGTGGCGCTGCTGGAAGCGCTTCAGCCAGCCGGTCGACGCCTTGAAGTCGGGGTCGCCGCCCAGGATGGCGTTGAGCTGCTTGGCCTTGTCGCTCACGATGGGGCCGGACACGGGCAGGCCCTCGCTCCGCCTCTGCACGAGCCACGTGAAGACGGCGCTGTCCAGCTGGTGGTCCTGGGCGCCGCGCATGATCTTCCTCTGCCTGCAGGAGGTGAAGGACTCCGTGGACTCGACGAACGACTTGAGGCTCGCCTCCGCCTTCTTGATGGACGTGACGGTGCTCTTGCCGATGCCGAAGTCGGCCGCGATCCTCTCCCTCGTGTGGCCCGTTTCGATGCGCGAGAGGATCTCGAACTTCTGCTCGATGGTCAGCACAACGCGCTTCCTCTTCGCCGCGGCCGCCGCCGCCACCGCCGCCGAGAACGCCAGGCCCGCGGAGTAACCTTGTTTTGTAAAAGGGAGGGCCGCGTGGGAGGCGGCGGGAGGGGAGGGAGGGGAGGGGAGGGAGGGGAGGGGAGGAAGGGGAGGGGACGGGAAGGAGGGAGACAATCAACAGTTTCGCAATAAGCGACCCAGAATACGAATGAAGCCGAGAGCGCGGACTGCGGGCGACGTTTCCCGTAGTCGGCCGAACCTCCCGCACCCCCGGCCCTCAACCTCCCACGCAGCCGATTGGTTGACCGTCGACCGAATCGGGGCCAGGGCACGCGGCCGGTGCGGCCACCTGATGCACCGATGGCGGCCACCGAAGATCTGGGCAGGCGTGGCGAGCGCCCACGAATCCCAAACCAATCGACTGCCGTCACGAACGCTCCGCCGCCGCCGCCTTCACTCATTTTAAAGGAGGAATGGACGAGATCCACTCACAATTGAGTGGTGGATGGTGAACATGAAAAAAAATGACGCCTTTAATCCGCCGCTATTCTATCCACACCTTCCCATACATCGCCCCTACCACACCGCTCCCACGCCCCTACCACGCCCCTACCACGCCCCTACCAAGCTCCGACCAAGCTCCTACCAAGCTCCGACCATGCCCCTAACACACCCCTACCAAGCTCCAACCACGCCCCTACCACACCGCTCCCACGCCCCTACCAAGCCCCTACCAAGCTCCTACCAAGCTCCGACCATGCCCCTACCACGCCCCTACCACACCCCAACTTACCGTCGCCGTCATCCTCCACCACAACCTCGATCTCCGCTGCGTCCGAAGGAGCCGCAGCAGCAGCAGCAATGGCAGCAGCTCGGTCTCCCCACGGTAGCCGCAGTGCCTCTCCGCGCTTCCCAGCACGGCCACCGTCATCGTCGGTGGCCGGACTCTCCGGGGCTCCCCCGTCGCTCGCGACGTTCTCCTCCTCCTTGATCCGAACCTCGGCTCCGCGAGCTGAGAGAGAGAGAGACGCGAAACGTCACTCAGCGTTGAGCCGCGCGAGCGTACAAACGTTGCATCATTAAACCCCCCAGCGCCGCCGCTGACCGTGTCGCTTTAGAACTGCGCGAGAGTCCTTGCGGCACGGTCAGCGACGAGGGGATCGTCAGAGGCTCCGTCGTCTGAGGAGGGGCGGTCACTTGTCTGGCGAGATGCTGCAGATGTAGATGCCACTGGTTGTTCACGTTCTACAGATGTAGATGCCACTGGTTCTTCACGATCTACAGATGTAGATGCCACTGGTTCTTCATGTTCTACAGATGTAGATGCTACTGGTTCTTCACGTTCTACAGATGTAGATGCCACTGGTTCTTCACGTTCTGCAGATGTAGATGCCACTAGTTCTTCACGTTCTGCAGATGTAGATGCCACTGGTTCTTCGCGTTCTGTAGATGTAGATGCCACTGGTTCTTCACGTTCTGCAGATGTAGATGCCACTGGTTCTTCACGTTCTGCAGATGTAGATGCCACTGGTTCTTCACGTTCTGCAGATGTAGATGCCACTGGTTCTTCACGTTCTGCAGATGTAGATGCAACTGGTTTTTCACGTTCTACAGATGTAGACGCCACTGGTTCTTCACGTTACGCAGATGTAGATGCCACTGGTTCTTCACGTTACGCAGATGCCACTGGTTCTTCATGTTCTGCAGATGTAGATGCCACCACCGCCATCTATCGTGCCGCAGTCGAACTTACGACTCTCGGTCCGAACAGGCATCTGTTGCCATGACCTCTCCGCACTGCTAATCTTCTCCACAATATCTATTTTAAACTAAGGCCTCACCAAGCTACTGTGTAGCTCGTCTGACTGGCACAAATGATAGCAGCTCATCGAAGTGGCTGATATCATCATCATCATCACGTGGAAATTTATAGCAGCGGCCAAATGCTCTAAATGCGTGACGTTCATTCTAAATGTTGGAGGGGAAAACCAGACGACCTGGAGACAAAACCATGCAACCACAGCCAAAAAGTGTAAAAAAAACACCTAATCTTAATTTTCATCCAGTTTCTAGTGTTTTGTATAGGCTATAGACAGTTCTGTCTGTTTAACAGGTAGGCTTGGGTTAGACCGCGTAAATATATAAATGTGTCGTTAAAACCCACCACCACCCGACACAGCCAACTTGTAAAAGTTGTCACGTAAACAGAACGTGCCAATTCGTCACGAGTACAGCACGAGTGTGTAGTGTATAGTAGTGTAGTGTATAGTGTAGTGTATAGTAGTGTATAGTGTAGTGTATAGTAGTGTAGTGTATAGTAGTGTAGTGTATAGTGTAGTGTATTAGTACAGCACACCGGTGCGTTGGAGAGCCAAGCAACAACATTTACAATCTGAGTACAACATTTCACCAGTAATCACAACCAGCTTCATCAGGCGACAGCCAGATCTGCCTTCTCCGCCAAGTCACGGACCACCGACACGTCCGTCGTTGCCTCCTTTTCCAGATGCCGCCTACCGACAGGAATTCAACTTCCCACCTTTCACGCGGAGAGGCATCCCGACTCACCGCCGTCGTCACCGTGGTCGCAGGGGGCGTCTTCTTCCCTCTCCGTTTTCACCGGCCGCCACCCCTCGTGCCCAGACCCCGCTTCGTCCGTTTGCTCAGCACACGGCTCCGGAGGCGAGGGCCCCGCCCGGCCTGTCCCATTGTGCAACGGCAACAGAGCGAGGAGACTCCGGCTGATGCCGCCCATCATGCGATTGGATCGCGAACGAACAACGCGGATCACCCCCCCCTTACACAGTCGCAAATAAGATGGACGATTGTGGTTGAGATTGAAATGATCAGGGCGTGTAGTGCAGCACATAGTGTAAAGTGTAGGGTGCCAACCACGCACTGATTAGCGCGGTTGGCACACTATACACTACATTATACGCTGCACACTACATATTACACTACAAACTACACTATACTATACACTACACTATACACTAATTGTACACTACACGACTCTACACTACACTATACACGACACTACTATACTATACACTACTATACACTACACTAATACTGGTAGGAACCTCCTGGTTACACCAGCCCACAGGGGATTATTGTGTCTGTCCGTCGTGCATGGGAGGGGTGGGGCTGGGTGGAGAGGGGAGGTTGAGGAGGGGCTGGGTGGGGAGGGGAGGGTGGGGAGGGGCTGGGTGGGGAGGGTGGGGCTGGGTGGGGGGTGGGAGGGGTGGGGCTGGGTGGGGAGGTGCTGGTCATCCCGTGGTGCCCTTATAAAACTCAACGTTTAACCTACTCAAGCCGGCTTGTGCCCACCCTAACAGTCGGCCATATTTGAGGAATACACCACGCCGCCGTTGACCCTGGCCATTGATCGAGCAACCCAACGTTCCTACCAGCTCCCTCCGCAGGAATGTGTTATATACTACAGTACTATACCCTACATACTATACTATACACTACACCGCACCTCCGAATAATAAGGCTATGGGTCTCTATGTAATGAGGCTACGGGTCTCTATGTAATGAGGCTGTGTCTCTGTGTGATGTTGATTCTAAAATGCGGAGGGGCAAAACCGGAAGAAGACCCGGAGACAAATCCACGCGACCACGGGGACAGAGAGAGAAGAGAGACGCAGACTCCAAATATGTGGCAGCAAGCCGGGTACGTAACCACCACCACGGCCGCTAGCGCCAGGCTAGGTGCACCTAGAGGACTACTTACCGGTAGCAGTAGTGGCAGCGTCTCGGCGTGGCTCGTCGGCCCCTCTACGACGCGACATCTCACGGCCGGGAGGATCTCCTCCTGCCGCCTTCCTCGCTCCGTGAGGCCGGAGTCTCGGGGTCGGAGGAGCCTCGCCCGCGTGCTCGCTCGCTCGAACCCTGGGCACACGACACTCGGAGAGTCAGACGTGCTCGTGCGATGGAGAAAAATCGGGATTGAACCCACGGCCTCCTGCAGACCAGGCGAGGTGGTTAACATCTCACCACGGGAAGAAAGACACACAGACTCCAAATATACAGTAGCAGGCATCGTCGGGGTCGGGATCGAACCCACGACCTCCTGTATACCCGGCGAGGTAGTCAACATCTCCTAGCTCCACACAAATATACAGCAGCAGGCATCGTCAGGATCTGGATCGAACCCACGACCTCCTGTACACCCGGCGAGGTAGTCAACATCTCCTAGCTCCACACAAATATACAGCAGCAGGCATCGTCAGGATCTGGATCGAACCCACGACCTCCTGTACACCCGGCGAGGTCGTCAACATCTCCTAGCTCCACACAAATATACAGCAGTGGACATTGTCGGGGTCGGGATCGAACCCACGACCTCCTGTGTACCCGGCGAGGTAGTTAACATCTCCTGGCCACAGCAGAGACCCGGGGAGCTCCTCTCGGATCCACTTTGAGGGGCGTGGATTCACAATGGCCAATTGGGACGAGGATCGGGAAGAGGAGGAAGTGGTTGGATCTTGAGGAGGATGGGGAAGAGGAATGGGAAGGGGATCGGGGGGAGGAGGAGGAACGGGAGGATGATTAAGAAGAGGATGAGGAGCAAGAGGAGGAAGAAGTGGAGGAGCAAGAGGGGGGTGAACAGGATGAGGAGGAGCAAGAGGATGAGAAGGAGGAAGAGAAGGAGCAAGAGGATGATTAAGAGGAGGATGAAGAGGATGAGGAGGAGCAAGAGGAGGATTAAAAGGATGATTAAGAAGATGAGCAAGAGGAGGAAGAAGTGGAGGAGGAGCAAGAGGATGAGGAGGATGAAGAGGATGAGGAGGAGGAAGAAGTGGAGGAAGAGAAGGAGGAGCAAGAGGAGGAGGAGCAAGAGGATGAGGAGGAGGCTCGGGAGGGTCGCGAACCTGGCTCCGGGGGGGGGGGGCCCAAGGAGCAGCTGGCGGCTTCCCCCCGCACGGAGCGGGGACCTCCCCGCGGGAGACGGACGGAGCGCGCCCTGGGGGGCGGGGCGGGGGGTCAACGTGGGGGGGTGGGAGGGGTGGTGGGAAACGAGGGTGGATGTTACAACAACCACGACTCAACACGGAACGATGGATGCGAGCCAAGCCGAAGCACTGACACACTGCACGCTGTTGTTGTTACTATCCCTGTGGGTCTCTGTGTATATCTGTGGGTCTTTATGGGACTCTATGTATCTCTATGGGTCTCTATGTATCTCTGTGGGTCTCTATGTATCTCTATGGGACTCTATTGGTCTCTGTCTATCTCTATGGGACTCTATGTATCTCTGTGGGTGTTTATGGGACTATGTATATCTATAGGGCTCTATGTATCTCTATGGGTCTCTATGTATCTCTATCTATATGGGTCTCTATGTATATCTATAGGGTTCTATGTATGTCTATGGGTATCTGTCTACCTCTATGGGTCCCTATCTCTATGGGTCTCTGTCAGTGCCCTACCTTATCACAGCCCAAACAAATAGACGAACGTGTTTTGTTTTGCCCATATTCAATGAGCTGTACGTCGTATGGACGTGTGGTATTCTTCGAGTCATCGGCAAGTCCACTCAGCTCCACATCCTCCTGTACTACATCACTCCATCTCTTCTCTATCCCGTGTCACTCACCCAATCACTCACACACTCGCCCACTCACTCGCCCACTCACTCACCCACACACCCACTCACTCACCCACCCACTCACCCACCCACTCACCCACTCACTTAACCACTCACCCACCCACTCACACATACACTCACTCACCCATCACTCCACCCATGCCGCGTCCGTTTAGCCCCCTCTTTCTGGCCGACCAAAAGCTGTTTAGGCATGCGGTGGTTGGGCATGCTGGATAAATGACCCAGCCAACATCCACACCCACCCACCCACACTCGAGAATATCAAAAGCTCCCCACCACGCCAGGCCACGGTCGCAAACCAGCTCTGGTGCAGGCCAACCAGTTTCAAAAGACGCTGCAGCACGAGCCCTTCGTGCAGACGTGGCGATGCCTTGCAGTTGCATCTGTAGTGATGGGTTTCACGACGGTGGAGACGAACGTTGGGGGCAACACGTTTATTAACACACAGCTACGATACAGCGCGTAGCGAACCCTTAACACTTGAAGGGGTTCCGGCCCCTTCACCCGCTGCCTAAGGAGCTACCGCCTCCGGACTGACGTGCCCCACTACTGGGGCCAAGGTCTCTGGGTCCTCTGGCTAGGGGTGACCTAGGCGAGACCACTGGCCCACTCAGACCCGGCCCTTACAAGGACGGCGGGTCAGGCGAGTCCCAGGGTCCTGGCTAGCTGGGCTTCAGTCTTCAACTGGCACCGGACCCGCCCAGAGGTCCAGCTTTTATACAGCTCCCAGGCGTGTCAGCCCCTGGCTACGCCTTCCTTCCAGAAAGTTCCAGGGGTGGGGTCTCGGGGGATACCAGGAAACCCCGTAGCCCCCTCCTGCTTTGGGGTTGGGGAACGTAGCGACCCCTCTGCCGGTGCGAGGTACTGCCCCTGATGGGCCCTGTCTGCTATTGCAGGTAAGTGCCCGCAGCCCATTTACAGCGCTACACATCTACGTTGAGCTGCTTTCGCACCGTACGGAGCAAACCGTGCTGCGGTTACGTGTATCGCAGTGTAGTGTGTAGTGTATAGTGTAGCGTGTAGTGTAGTGTACAGCGCAGTGTGTCGTGTAGTATGTAGTGTATGCCGTAGTACGTATGTGTGTTGAATTTCTTTCACACCGTAAATAACCAACCGTGCTAGTCGGAAGTGCGCTGTAGTGTATAATGTAGTGTATAGTGCAGTGTAGTGTATAGTGTAGTGTATAGTAGTGTATAGTGTATGTATGTTTAACTTCTTTCGCAGCATACGTTGCCTGGTCCAAGTGTCTCTAGACCAGGGGTGGGCAACCTGCTGTCCTGTGGAGCTCCGCGTGGTGGCCTGGTCTAAGCAAGTCTAGACCAGACGTGGGCAACCTGCTGTCTCGTGGAGCTCCGTGTGGTGGCCTGGTCTAAGTGTCTCTAGACCAGGTATGGGCAACCTGCGGTCCCGTGGAGCTCCGCGTGGTGGCCTGGTCTAAGCGAGTCTAGACCAGGTGTGGGCAACCTGCGGTCCCGTGGAGCTCCGCGTGGTGGCCTGGTCTAAGTCTCTCTAGACCAGGTGTGGGCAACCTGCGGTCCCGTGGAGCTTCGTGTGGTGGCCGATTCGAGGTGCGTCTAGACCGGCCGCTCCGTGACACGCTATTTATTTGGGGTCCCCATCGTCTCGCACATTGTATTGCGGCTCTTGAAACGTTGGGCTTTCTTTTGTTTAGCGAATTCATAACGAATGCCTCTCGTCGTTACATGTTAAGGTTGTAGACCCCCTGGTCCAGGGTGACGCGTGGGGTCATGACGAGTGCGCGACGTCAAACTCGCGGCCCACTGAGGTGAGGGAGGGCCTCTCTTGTGGCCCACCGGCTCGTCTGGGTTGTTCATCACTCATCGAGGCCGTTCGCCCCACCCCACCCCACCCTGAGTATTTTGCTGTGGCTAACATGTCCACGTGACGATGACATCAGTCACTTGGTTGAGCTGCTATCATTTGTGATAGGGGACCGTCCATAATGACGTCACGCACCTGGGGGGGGGGGGGGGGTCAGACATTTGTGACGATGTGTGACGAGGGGGGGGGGGGGTTGAGAATGTGACGTCACATCAAAATGCGCAACTTTAAATAAATATAGACAACACGTTCTACTTAATTAAATAGACTTTTTAATAAATGTTTTCTCCTACAACATCAGAGTGTAGCGCCACATTAAATACGTACTACAATGACAATAGTTTAAAGCGATTTGAAGCATGTTTTTTTTTTGGGGGGGGGGCAGATCTTTGTGACATCATATTTGAGGGGGGGTCTGACTTTTTGTGACGCCGTGTGACGGGGGGGGGGGGTCAGAAATCGTCCAAAATCGCGTGACGTCATTTATGGACGGCCCCTAGCCAGGTCGCTTCTGAAAAATGGTTACAAAGCAGCTAGTAAAACAAAAAAGTGAAAATTTCAATAGTTTAGAAAGATCACCTTGCAGACAATCAGACAGCCAACGAATTCGACTTACTTAAAAAAAACACAAAAGCTCTCCTTCACGCGAGACGTTATCTCGCTCGTCCGCTACGCAGGAAGTCGTGGGTTCGATCCCGGACCCTGATGACACCTGCTGCTGTATAGTCGTCGTTTTCTCTATCTCTGCCCGGGGTGGTCGAGTGGATTGTTCTCCGGGTCTCTCCGCTTTTCCCCCCTCCATATTTAGGAACAACATCACGCGTTTAGATTGTTTGGCTGCTGCCATCTGACCTTATCTTGACGGAATTCATATAGCGCCTTGACCAAGGCACGTTACAGATAATTAACAAATGTAACGGTGGAGACTAGGTGAATAAAAGAGAAGGCAAGAATCAATGGGGGGGGGGGGGGGGGGGGGGAATCTGCGATGTCTGAATTTGGTGAAAGCCAAATGGATGACAGGAAATGATGAATGGATTGAATGAATGGTGTTAATGAGTGGGAGCCATATAATGAGAATAATTAATTATTCTCAAAGTAAATGATGATGAATGGATTGAATGAATGGTGTTAATGAGTGAGAGCCATATCATTTGAATAATTAATTATTATTCTCAAAGTAAATGATGGTGAATGGATTGAATGAATGGTGTTAATGAGTAAGAGCCATATATTTAGAATTCATTATTATTCTCAATCTTGATTTGAAGCTTTCATGACTGCAGGAATCCATACTATTTGGTTCTTTTGGTAAGTCACGTAGTTAGAAATAAAATACAACAAATCACGACGTTTCGATTGCAACATAAGCAATCATCATCAGGTGGGAGAGGTCGCCCTCTCCCCCCCCTACCCCCCCCCCCCTCTCTCTCCCCCCTTGCCCCTCCCCCCTTTCTTACCTATATAACCTCTTGCCACGGCAGCTCTCACTCCCACTTCAGCAATTCTTTCTTGCTGTGGTTTTCCCACCTGATGATGATTGCTTGTGTTGCAATCGAAACAACGTGATTTGTTTTAATTTATTTCTAACTACGTGACATTACTGAAAGAACGGGAAAATGTCAAAACTGGGTGGTTTTTAACTTTTGCCGACAAAACTGGATCCCAAATGTCAAAACTGGGTGCACCCTGGGTGGCCAAAAACTTGAGTTTTGGACACTCAGGGTGCACCCAGTTTTGACATTTGTCAAATACACTTGATAATTGTATACTAGCACAGTGTGCCAGCACCCCATTCATCCAAACACTTGGTATTTGTATACTGGCACACTGTGCCAGCACCCCATTCATCTAAACACTTGGTATTAGTATGCTGGCACAGTGTGCCAGCACCATATAACCACACACACTTGATATTTGTACGCTGGCACAGTGTGCCAGCACCCCAACGACCAATATTTCAAGCTACGGCTCGGACTCGGAAGTGAGCTCGGGGCGGGCTTGCGACCAGGCGGGCGCACTGCCACCTTGCGTGATGACCTAGACTAGTGACTCGCGTCAATACCAAACTTTTGGATTGTTGGTTGATGCTACGCGCTACTGTACACCCTTAAATTTGCCATGCATTCGACCATAGCCCGCCAAACGACCAAGCACAGAGACAAAGGCGACGTCCTTGGGAGATGGACCAGCCTGCTTGACGCTCCTGACCATGGTCCCAATGGTGCGGAACAAACCAACGAATGCGCATCTCGTTGATTGGTCAATCCTTTGGCCCACCGTTACGGTGATTGGCGGAAATATTGTGTGAAAAATCAAATTGCTGGCAATGAAAATAGACATATTGTCTCGTGAAAAATTGAAAGTAGACGTAGAAACGTGATTTTTCACAAGCATTTTTCACGAAACAGGTGGAGGAGCGGCTCACATTCGAATGGCAACCCTCCACCCCAAGAAGACTTTTACCACGCGCCGCGAGGCCATCCACGGCATCCAAGACTTTGCTTTGCAACAAGGCAAGCGCGCGGTCCTTGACCTCAAGCGAAGTGGCGGACGGCACGTTGCCATCGTCTGCTCTAGTTCAACACCTTGTTCCTTCAAGGTGAAGCTAACGAAGCTCACGGGGGAACGACGCGGCTTCTGCGTCTCGGCGCTGTGCACGGATCACCACGGCTGCACGGGCACTACCAAGATCACGCAGCGCCAAGTGGAGGCGAACACGACAGCCCGTTCGGCCTTTCACGCCAACCCCCGTACCTCCGCACCGACTGTCATTGCCCAGGTCGCCGACGTTGCTCGCGTCATTGTTCCGACCCGGATGATGTACCGCGCCAAGGACACGTGCATCGCGGCGAACGAGAGTGCGGCCCATGCAGGCTTCGAGTTCATCAACTCGCTGGTGGAGACGTTCGGCAAGCTCAACGCGACGACCTGCAGTGTGCGAGAAGACGCGGGCATCTTCTGGGGTGCGTTCATCTGCAACCCGATCGCACGCTCGTTGCAGCCAAGTCTTCAACGCGTCGTCGGCATCGACGGGTCGCACATGAAGGCGCGCGCCTACAACGGAACCATGCTCGTCCTCGTTGGGCGCGACGGCAACAACCGCAACGTCCTTCTCGCCGTGGCGCTGGTGCCGTCCGAGACGGCAGCGGCCTACGACTGGTTTCTCAACTGCTGCACGACCAACGACATCGAGCTCGACGGCACGCCGGTCTTCTGCGATCGTGGCACGGGCATCCTAGCCTCCGACTGGAAGGACCTCATGCTCATCCACTGCACGCGGCATTTGATCTGCAACGGCGTGGACAACATCGGCTCTGCGTTCACGCCCGACCTCTAAGGCATCATCTACGATGCCCAAGGGTGCGCCTCCGAGGCCGCGTTCCGCAGCTCCTTGGGCTGCTTGGGCGTAGCTCTGCCTGCGGCGGCCACGTACTACAATAAGATCGACCCCCACACGTGGGCGCTCTACCCGCACCTGCACACGACGCCATTGTACGGCTGGCGCACGACGAACTTTGTGGAGTCCACGTACAGCGAGGCCCTGCCGGCTCGCGAGATGGACCCCTTCCACTTCCTCATGCACCACATGGAAGACATGATGACGACGGCCTTTGCCCACCGCAGCGACGCCGAGAAGTGGGCCGCTCAAGGGCGTGTCATTACGCCGTACGCTCAAGGACTCATCGACGCTCAGCAGGCGTTGGCCCCGAGGTACAAGGTCTACGAGAGTACCTCGACGCGTGCATACGTCAAGGATCCAGACGCCTACGCCTCTGCCAAGCGCCGAGTCGATCTCAGCTCTCGGTCGTGCACGTGCGGGTACATGAAGCAGATGGGCTTGCCGTGTCGGCACTACATTCGTGCCCTCATGGCGTTTGGGCGGATGCCCGAGCTCTACGACGCATGTGCGGTGTGTTACCAAGTCTCTGCCATCAACACGACATGGACCTCGGTTGCCGGTATCGAGCTGCCCATTGCCGAGGAGCTGCAACGCGACAACACCATGATGCCACCTCCTCGCCAGAAGAAGGCTGGCCGCCCGAAGAAGCGTCGGATTCGCAACCGTGGCGAAGGTGGCCCATTGGGCCTCACGCGGTGCTC